TCTTTCCTTTTTTGGGTATATGATGATGTGTGGTGGTGGTGGACTTTGATGTGGTTAAGGACATGGCTGGACTAATAAGCAAGATTAACCGCTCTTCCATTGGGCCTCTTCCTTCATTCTATTCTCCATCTTTGTAAGTCTCACGTCGTCACTCTTTCTCTATATTTGTTGAGTATAAAAGTCCCGCATCAAACACCCCGGCTAATAAATAAAGACTAAGGAGTATATAAGAATACATGTTACTCCTCCCATTGCGAATTCCATAAACGCCCTCACAATATGTTTTTTCTGCATGCTTGTCAATTAAATTAATTAATTAAATATTATAATATGTAATAGAATATGATCCCAACTTCATTGGGCTGTTTCTGTTAGACCCATGGTGCATTGCTGCATTTACGATCCAAAACTTCATTGAAAGTAAGAAGCAAAGGCAGTTTAATGTGCCATTTTGATTGAGTCCATTATTCACCTGAACCCAGAAAAAAATTGTAAAAAAAGGACTCTTTTTACTCCATTGATTCTATAATTGCATCTGATGTGAGGATAATTATGATACTCTTAAACAGGAAAGCACTTATTAAGTGCATGCTAAGAAAGAATCCCGAGCATCGGCCCAGCGTAAGCCCTTTTAGAAGCAGATTCTACGATTTCTTTTTTCTTCTATGTGAAGTTCATATCAATTTAATATCATCTCCTCTTCTTCTTCTTCTTCTTCAGGCATCAGAACTCCTCAAACACCCATTTTTGCAGACATATGTCGCACAATACCGCACATCTGCAGTCAATTCTCCCCCGGCGAGAGCCACGGAGAAGCCTCCAAACAGCAGGAGTGACAGTCCAAGGAATATGGGGGAGAGCCAAAGCAGTACTGCCAGTTCTTGCAGTGATAGGGACAGTTTGAATTGCGAGAACAAGAAAGGGGGTTCTCCTGATCCCATTTTGGCCATTCCGGATGAGGGAAGTGGGACTCACGATCCCAAAGAGCTACCCGTAGCAGAAGATGCTTGGAGCGAAAAGACTGAGGACCAGGAGGCAGGGCGCATTTGTAATTTGGACTCCAAACCACCGGGGACTATACGGAACATAATGATGGCATTGAGGGAAGGAAAAGGTAGGGAGAATACCTCATCTTCCCCAATGAGAGCTACCCGGTCAAAGGGCAGCTCCACGAGCACACAGAAAGCCGTTGAAATGTCACCTAATAAAGTCCCAAAGCCGTGTCCGGGCACCCCTAGTTCTAGGGCGAATGTGGACGGCGGACCTGGTTCCGGATCCGTGAAGGTGGGTCCCGACTGTGGTGTCAAAAGGGCTCATTTAATGCCTTCCCTGAAGCATCAGGTATGAATGTGTATAAGTGTATTTGAATCTAAATATATGAGTATTTGCTTTCATTATACTTGTTGTATTTGTAGTTGCCTGCCATTGAATCCTCTCCAAAGACGAAGCCGAAGCACGATGGAACCTCTCCTCCACAAGGGGTCGCGAAACACATTACCCCTACCGAGGAGCGGTTGCCCCCGAGGGCGGCGAAACAGAGACTGCACCCCAATTTGAACCGGCGGCCTTCGTTTCCCACAAGGATGACAAGGCAGGCGGGGCCCGATTGTCCTGTTCCCGTGGATGACATCAACAGTAACAAGCCATCTTGCATTGGAGCGTCCAACGAACTGCAAACTGATAGCTGCAGCAATTCTGCTGCTTCGTCGTCTTCGGTCTCCATTCAAGGATTCGAGCTCTGTGACCCGACCGCTCCCGTTGTTAAACTTTCTGATGATGAGTTGAATCGGTCACCCGAACAGGCCTCGGATACGGGCATCGCCAGATCAAGCCCGCCTTGCTCGGTTACCGCCTCCGCGCCCTCGGATAGCAACCCCGAGGGTTGTTGTTTTAGGGAATACGAAGAATGTTTCCAACCGACGGTGGGTTTTACTGTATCTCCACCCCGTGGGCCCGCCAGTCTCGAAGATGACACTCAGAGTAGCAGGCCAACTACTTTCCAAGACGATGTTCCGACAAGCAGGCCCGCTGGTTTTTCTGAGAATGCTACCGTGCCCGGTGGCGGCGACAAACACATCGTTAAAGAAGACGAATTCTTCTTTTCGGCAACCAAAACCGCCCCTCCGGTTTCCGGGCCCACCTCTCCGGACCAACAAACCGTGCCAAGGATTTTATCACCGGAGAACGGCAACTCTCCGCAAAGTGCGGTGCTTCTCGACAAGTCATCATCCGCCGCTTTCGATGGCATCATTCACGTGGTCCCCACTCCAATTCAAGAATCTTTAGAGCACCCGCCGAAGCCTGCAGCGGGGGATGAAACAACTCCAACGAAAGAGACGTTGGACGTGAAGTCCTTCAGGCAGAGGGCGGATGCCCTCGAAGGGCTATTGGAACTATCGGCCGAGCTCTTAGAGCACAACCGGCTAGAAGAGCTCGCCGTCGTTCTGAAGCCCTTCGGGAAGGAGAAGGTGTCTCCCAGGGAGACCGCAATCTGGTTGGCAAAGAGCTTGAAAGGGATGATGATGGAGGACTCCCATTAACACAACTCTTGATCAGATCACTGGGACCCCAACAAAACCACTTTCTTCTTCTTCAATACACTTTCTGTGATTCATTTATTTTAGTGAAGTGTACATATATTGAAGTTGTTTTTTCCCCTCATTGCACATGTAAGAGTATACTGCTCCAACAGTTCTTGTCCAGTTTTAACTTTTTTTAATAGTCAAATTAGACAAATTTTGTTCAAGAATTAAATAAAAAATATATTGCATGTTAATATAGTGAAAACTTTTTTTTTGAATTTTTCTGCAAGATAAATCATTTTTGTGATGATATAAAACTTATTTTTATTTTATTGCAAAAATAATCAAATTGGACAAATACCCGGTAACTTGAGACTAACATTTTAATTGTCTTGTTGACTTGAAAATGAATTGTGGATATATTATTATGTCCGTATTCATTCACTTTTCAATTTGGGAAGTCAACGAGACAATGGAAAAAAGCGTACGTACATTTTGAAAACACCAAACGAGACGTTAGATGATCCACTCCGTCTGGTTGAAGTCGACGCTTCTCACGACCCAAGAGATCTTAGGTCATCCAATTCGATTCAATATTGGGCTACCCACCATCGGATCCGGATAAACACCCGTGGCTGATGGCGGGCCATCATGGACATCGAGCGGTGGCAAGGGAGTCCCATACCGTGTGTGTAGCAAGAAGAAAACGAAGAGCAACAACAACAAGAAAAGGTAGGTGAGGAAGAGGAGAAGTGGAAGCTCGGACTCGAAGAACTCGAGAACGAGGAAAATCAAAATGAGGAGAAGGATATAGATCAGGAGGAGACAGGGGATAACGAACGGCTTTATAAAATTCCAGATAGACAAAGAGAAAATACTAAACAGTAACTGAAGAACAGAGATGAGAAGAGAAAGAACTCAAGATAGGAGAGAGAATTATGGTGAGCATGAAAAGGAGAAGGGGAAGCATTAAGGTTTTCTTTTTTTTCAAGCAAAATATGGAGAAATAATTTTTTTTTTCTTTTGAAAAAAAAAACATATTTTTGAAAGATGAGTAGAAACAGTTGAAGTTCACACACTTGGCATGAAAGCAGATACCTGAAGAATGTGAATTTAAAGCCTACTATATACTCCGTAATCCGTATCTCGCATCTTTTTTCATTAAAATTGAATATTATTTGCCCCAGTTTATTTTGTTCAGATTGACTTTTAATTATTTTATCGAACACTTTATAGTTTATATGACTATTTCAAGAGAAAAAGGGGGGCAATTTTTGTTAATACCCCGTAGTTCAAAATTTAACAATTGACTTCACTCTATTGTTAGTTCAAGTGAAATTTGCACTGAATAAGACTAAAACGTAAGTCATTTCTCAAAGTAGGGCTTAAACTTTTTTATTCTCTAAATAGGACTTAATAATGTCTAGTGAGAAGAATAATATTCAAGTGATGCTAGACATTTAGTTGAATAATGACTAATAAATACTCCTTCCGTCCCAATTTAAATTGCCCGTTTTGATTTTTGGGCATATTTAAGGAAAATAAAAAATAGAGTTGATTTTTTTGAAATTGAGATTACTTTTTAAGAAGAGTGATGATGAATGAGAAGATAAGGTGAAAAAAGTGACTTATTTTAAGGGTAGTTTAGTCATTTTATTTTTAAAAGTTTACGAAAACAACTAACAAGCAATTTATTTTGGAACGGAGAAATAAAGCAAACAGACAATTTAAAATGGTACGGAAGGAGTAATTTCCAATGGTCCTACATTGTAAAATAAAAAAATATGATTCTATATTGAGAAAGTTATTACGAAGTATGTTTTAGTCTTATTTAAGTAAATTATTATATAATTAAATTTATTTTGGAATATAGTTTAATATATAAAATTTTAATTACATTATTTGTTTAAATCATGTTGTCAGTTGAACTAAATAAATATAGTACTTTCATCGCAATTTATAATCAAAATAGTATCACTAAATGAAAAAAAAGGGAAACTGTAATTGTAATATACTCTATAAATCATAAATATATCACGACAGCAACACTTCGGATGCACGAATAAATGGTTATTCGAATATATGTATATGCGGAGCTGATTATAAACAGATCAAATGTATAATTATCAAGTCTGCATCTATTTTCCAATCAGATATTCTTAATTAAATATGAATAAAAAAATATACTCCCTCCATCCCAAAAAGAATGTTACATTTCATTTTTTGCGCATCACAAAAAGCACTGCTACTCACATCTAAAAATTCTAAAATTTACCATATTTACTCTTTATTATAAGATGAAAGTGTTTTGAAACTTTTTTTTAGCATTTGAGAAGATATAAAAATATTTTAAGAGATGCGCAAAAAATGAAACGTAATATTCTTTTTGGGAATGAGGAATACTTAAATGTTACAGATATTTTTCGTGTCTAAATAGATAGAGATATAGATATGAACTACTCCGGGTATAATTGAATTTTAAATGATACGGAGTAACTGTATTACGATTATTGCGCGCATGGATGGCGGGGCATTCAACCTTTAAGTGCGCATTGCCAGTTGGGTGGGCCAAGCCTCCTGAGGTTTCGTTACTCGTTTCTCTGTCATGACCGTCGAATCAAATCGGCCGCCGCTCACCGGCGATCCAGTAGTCGGCTACCCAATTAACCATCCGCCGCCACCTCCCGGAGCCGCCGCCTTCTTCGATGGCGCTCCTCCGCCATCCCTCCGCCACGACAAGAACTTCAACCCTCACTCACAGCAGCTGGACTTCCAAAATTTGGACTGCGTCGGTAAGGCAAAATTGGTCTGTAGCGTCATTTCATTCGCGCTTTGCTTCCTCCTTATTCCCGCGAGTATAGTGGGCTTAGGTATTGCCACCAGGCCGTACTCGCCCCAATTCCGGGCCGATTCGCTGTCCGTCTCCGATTTCAACATCTCGGATAATAACCTCGTCGCGGGGAATTGGGATCTCCGATTCACAGTCCGGAACCGTAATCGGGAGCTTGACGTCGACTACGAGCACATCTGCGCCGAGATCCTCTACGATTCGGCGCCGCTCGCGCAGGCCATAGTGAGGCCGTTCTATCTGGGGCCGAAGGACGAGACTTCCTCGGAGGCGAGATTCGCCGCCGACGGAACCGTCGTCAAGGACTGGATTGTGGAAAGGGTGAACAGGGAGAAGCCTTACATCGAGTTCAATGTCAGGTTTACGGCTAGGATTTCGCATCCGATGAGAACGTGGAGGCCCTCGGGCGTTGAGGCGTACTGTGGGAATTTGAAGGTTAGGGTTGATGGCGGCCATGGCTCTTCTGGAGATCTCTCCGGAGGGCCTAAACTGTGCCGCGTCGATGAACGATGATTGACGACGGTGCTTTCTCTTCATCTCTGCAGGTTATTTTGGCCCAAATTTCGCTGGATAATTACTTGTTAGGATTTGGAATTTTGAATTTGTTAATTATTCCTTCCTGTCCTTTTTTTGATGAATTGAATTAGCATGATAAAGCCAATAAAGTCTTATTTTACTTTTGTCCATATATTTTATCAATACCTTGATCTTTACTAAGGTTAATTGGGAAAACCAAAAACCACAAATTAAATTGAAATTGATCGAAACAACTTAGAAAAAAAAATCAATCTGGAAAAGCAAAATTGATTCTAAACAAATCAAATCGAACCGTTATTGTTTGTTTTCCGTTTTGGTTTTCACTTTAAAAAACTGAATCAAACTAAATAAACCAAACTTTCTCAGGTATTTTGCTTTACGAATTTGAGTATATGTGATATGTAAACAATCAAATCGAACCGAACCCTTATTGTTTCTTTTCCGTTTTGGTTTTCATTTTGAAAAATCGAATCAAACTGAATAAACTAATTATTCTTAAGTATTATGCTTTACGAATTTGAGTATACGTGACATATAAGAAATCATATGAAATATAAAGAAACTAACTGATTAGTCAGTTAATGTTATTTTTTCTTAACTATTAAAATTTTAAACCCTATTATAAATTTTTAAAAAACTAGAAACCTTAACACCAATAATTAAGTATTTCTATTGCGAAGCTATATTAACCTTAAAAATTGATACAAGTAATTTACATATTACATAAAAAAATTTGATGTTATAATAAAAGTATAAGTATTATACCAAAAATATAAACTTTTCGTAATTGAAAGTATAAGTATTATACCAATGAACAAGACTTCGTTGGAGGAGAGATTCGCCACCAAGAGGGCCTTCCTCGAGGACTCGATCGTGGATCAATCGAGTGAGGAGGGAGAAACCTGACATCAAATTTGATATCAGGTTTTTTTCAAGGTTTCGTATGCAGAAGGAGGATGGTCAGCATGTTGTGGTAGATTGAAGGTGAGGGTCTATGACGGAGGCCATGCCTCCTCTGATTTTGGGGACCTCTCCGAAGGGCATAATAAGCATTGTGGTTTGCAAAAAACTAGATTCGTACCCGTGCAACACATTTACTAAATGATGCGTTATAGGCTCAATGTTCATCGGAAGTGTTATATGCTTTGGAAAACTTAATTAAAAACTACATTTGTTGTTTGGTTGGAATGTTGTTGTTTGGTTGCAATATTGTTTTTCGGTTAGTTGGATAATGGAAGCTCTTCATTGTAAATCAAGATCCTTAAGCCTTTATGATTTGTGACACGTGAAACTCATACGGAGTAATAAAATTATTCATAACTGAATACCGATTTCTTGAGTGAGAATCCAACATGCGATAAAGATTGGTCTTATTTTTTGTTAATTGTCATTGCATACGAAGTAACAATTAAAAATTGCATTCTTTGAAACTTAAAAGAAATTCTTGTATCTGACGTCATTGCATCAATACTGTTTTACTTTTATTAGTCCAAATTTTAAAAAAACACTCACTCCATTTAAAAGTATACATAAAAAATTCACTTTTCGAAACAGATGTCAAAATCTCAAGAATGAATCCTCCGTGTCACACGCCTAGGCCAACATCAACCCATTTTATCCTCATCTAACAAATGACGTGCATCATTTGGTGGGATCTCTAACTTTCTCCAAACCAGTGCCTTGTCGTTTTCCACTCTAGCAAGTAAGCATATAACTTTATTACCATTAATTTTTATTTATTTATTTCTTTCTTTTTATTCTACGTGCCAAAATATGTTGCAATGGAAGGGGGTAGTGTATATTTGGAGTACACTTTTGCTTTTTGGTGTACCCTAGATTATGTGATAATTAATTTTTGCAAGGATAATGCTACTTACACCCCAAAGTTACCCCAATTTGTACCCCAATATAAAAGCCCCCCCATCCTACACGTGAAAGTAATCCCCACCCCACAAGTAATCCCCCACCAAATTCAGTACTCCACTCTGCTTCTCAACCTTTGTGTGTCTCTCTTGGGTTACCTTTTTTTCCGGGTCTTCCATCTTCACAGCCACTGTTGTCTCTGCCTCCGGTGGTCCGTCTCCTCCTCCCAGCTTCCTTCGTCTCTGCCGTCGTGGTCACTGTCCTCGCCTCTGCCCCCTGGTTCGTGTCCTCGTCTTCCGATTGTCATTCACAGCAACCCATCTCTACAATTGCATGCCTCCTCTTTGCCGCTGGTGGTCCGCCAATAAGGTAATTGCTTCTCCTTTTGCAATTGCACCTCTTTTCCCAAAAATTGTATAGAAACCCTAAATGCTAAGCTACAGTAATATTCTCTTAAGTTTGGTGTGATTTTCACAAATGCAAATGGCAGTGATGGCCAAATTTATTTCAAAATATACATTGATGTATAATCATTTTAGTAAATGCCTGGGTAAAGCTGTATAGCAGTTTCACACCTACATTTTCTGCCCAAATGCTTGAGCAATGGTCCATTTTCTGCCGAATTGAGTATGTGGCCATGTTAATATATTCAATGACCTCTGATTTCTACGAACTCAATTTTATCTTGTTTATACATTCATTGAAAGGTAACCATGCAAGGATAGACAGCGGAAATTAAAATTTTTAACATCCTAACATGATTATCTTGCCCAGAATCACGTACTAAAACTTATAGTGAGTAAGAAATTTATACCTTTCTCCGTAAGCGGTAAAAACGAAGAAGTCATAGAAAGAGCGTTGAAAGTGCAAACGTAACCGTTCAAGCGTCCGGTTTCCAACTTTGACACACGAACAATGCCGGAGTTTACCACAATCTTTATGCTAGTAAATATTATAATAGTATAAAATATAAAGATTAAAATTGGGATAATAATAATCTTGTATATTTCTATAGAAAATATTTCTAATAATATTTAAAAATATTATAGATATTTTCTATACACAAAATGATATTAATGGAAGACTTAAAATAATTTTCTCTCACTAGAATCTCAAATGGCCGAAAATCATAAAAAACTCCCTTTGCAAAATGGAGTGAATTGTTTAAATAAAACAAAGATGCTCCATTATTTTGTCATTAGCTAAATGACAAAATTAATTAGTCCACTAATTTATCAATCAAGCAAAACATTAGCAATTTGTCAATCCATTTTATCATATGGCCGAATGAATGATATGAGAAGGATTTTCAAAATTCTTCTCCACTCAAATGTTCAAAGTGTATTTTATTTGACACCAAAAATTAATATAAAATTAATTTTAAATCAAATAAAAATACCAATATCATTTTTAAACAAGTATACAAATATACTTTAAATAGTTTATGTCAAAATAATTATTTTCATAATTAAAATGACAAACCAAAATAAAATATTCAATAATATATATATATATATATATATATATATATATATATATATATATATATATATATATATATATATATATATATAATTTCCATCATCTCCGATGGAGCCAAAATTTCACCATTTTTTGGCTTTGGGGTGTGATGGAATAAATCAAAATGGATCTCTAAACTGTCTGCGCTTTAATTAATGAAGTAGCAGTTAGTCAAGCAATGCAACTTTCGACGTTGAGCCGGGGGTCTCTTTGGAAACAGCCTCTCTACTTTCAAGTAGGGGCAAGGTCTGCGTACACACACCCTCCCCAGACCCTACTCTTGTGGGATTTAACTGGGTTGTTGTTGTTGTTGTTGTGTGTGTGTGTGTGTGTATATATATATATATATAAATATAAATCGGTACATATATAATATATATATATATATATATATATATATAACCGAATATTTATATATATAATATTTTATTTTACTATTTTTACAAATATACAAATTACTTTTTATCCCATTGTTTAATCCTACTCCTTAAATTGTTCAAAGTGTGTGACCCGTATAGGCACTTATAAAGCTGGCCACAGTATTGGCTCTGCACCAATACTATAAGCAATAAGCGGTATCTAGCAACACATTATTGCCCCCACGACTCAGACTCCGTGTAACTGTATCCCTTTGTCTCAATGTCTAAACTTAATACAAGGGATTAATAAAATCCAGCTTGTATCCATTAAGTCATTCACTGATTTATCAAGTCTGACTGATAGGAACAGACGTCATAAAAACATCTCAGCATGGCCATGCAATTTCCTCAATCATAACTTATCAGTGGGCCCCATAAGACATTAATCTCTTAAAAAGAGTAGTGACAAATCCTATGTACGTAATCTACGTTTCTGAATANCCACGACTCAGACTCCGTGTAACTGTATCCCTTTGTCTCAATGTCTAAACTTAATACAAGGGATTAATAAAATCCAGCTTGTATCCATTAAGTCATTCACTGATTTATCAAGTCTGACTGATAGGAACAGACGTCATAAAAACATCTCAGCATGGCCATGCAATTTCCTCAATCATAACTTATCAGTGGGCCCCATAAGACATTAATCTCTTAAAAAGAGTAGTGACAAATCCTATGTACGTAATCTACGTTTCTGAATATGCGCTGCAGCATACCCAAAACAAAGCCTGTATATCATCCTTATTTCATATGGATTAGGACAATGCATCAAAGTATGCGGGTTCACATATGCAGAAAACATAATACTTCAAGTCGAAGGATAGTTACACCCGTGGTCGCGCTAAAGATGCTTAGAGCATGAACTAAAAGTTCAAGCAACCTCTTTAGGATGGGTCAGTCCGACATCCTATTATCTCTAGATAATATCTGCCCATGTGCGGATGCGAACACACCGTCATTGACTATGAGACTAAGTCAAACATCCAACACACACTAGTCTCACACGCATTAACGATATCCCACTCTCATTAATACTCGACTATGGACATTTAGATAAATATTTATTTCAAGATGTTAGTCTCATCAGCAGAAAAACACTATCTGATAAACACCTTTTAAATATAAATCTAGGAATATAATATTTGTTTACATTAGCATGGGATGTGTAAACATATTATATCTGCCTATACATGATAGAATAACGATAAACAGTTGGCCATCAGGACACAACTCCAACATTCATGTCGTTCAATGACTACCCAAAATGGTAGTGAAGGCCAATTTTTTTTCAAAAAATATCTTGATGTATAATCATTTTAGTAAATGCCTGGGTAAAGCTGTACAACAGCTTCACACCTACATTTTTTTGCCCAAATGTCTGAGCAATGGTCCATTTTTTGCCCAATTGAGTATTTGGCCATTTTAATATATTCAGTGACCTTTGATTTTTCCTCACCCAATTTTATCTAGTTTATACATTCATGTCGTCCAATGATTACCCAAAATGGCAGTGATGGCTAATTTTTTTAAAAAATACCTTGAAGTATAATCATTTTAGTTAATGCCTGGGCAAAGTTGTACAACAGCTTCACACCTACATTATCTACCCAAATGCGTGAGTAATGGTCCATTTTCTGCCCAATTGAGTATGTTATGCTTACGCTATTATTTGCCCACTCACAAACATTTTTGTTTGTACAACCTTGACATAATAACTTTAATTATGAGATTTAATATTTTGGTATTACATTGACTTGTATTTGAATTGAAATGTCAGTTTGTGTGCAATGGCGTTATGATCCTTGCATAGTCAATATGCAGCACGCATGTGGTGTTATGATCCTTGCATTCGCGGAGTACCTCTTGGCTGGTTTGCCACTACTTCCTAACTGCACCTACAACCATGTCGACGACTTCCGTAGGCAATATGCAGCACGTATCTTTCGGATGATGGTGGCCCAAATCTTATGCAATATATATTCTTTGAGTAACGCACAACTATGACGGATTATCCGTCCATGCTAGTATATGCAAGGCATTTTTTTAGCCTTGTAATGATTATTCACTCTATGAATATGTATTCGAGCATGTAAAACATAAAACATATATTATTTGATTAATATATAACTGTTCTGGCCATGAACATAAAACATGTCACTTCATTTCTTGATGTTTGGAAGGAATGGTGCATCAAATTCTCCCCCAAAATTTGGTCATTTTACATTTAATTTAAATTGTTTACTATCTTGTAAAGCTTAAGTGTAATTTTATTACGTGTCAAATATTTGAGCATAACCAGTGCCACACTGACATTAAGTCTTGGTGTATAAAACAGAAACAATATCACACGGGCATTACATGTTGGTGTACTGAACAGAATCAGTAACACACAGATATGAAGTGTTGGTATATTCAACAGAATCAGTAGGACACATATATTAAGTGTTGGTTTATTGAACACCACTAGTAGAACACTTACATTAAGTCTCGGTGTATTTAAAAGAAACAATAGCACACAGACAGTAAGTGTTGGTGTATTGAACGAATCAGTAGCACACAGATATTAAGTGTTGGTGTAGTCAAGATAAACAACTATTAAGTCTAAGTGTTCAACTGTTACATAAGGAAATACCATTTACATAGTTAGTGTTCAACTTGCCCACAAAATAAGTATATTTACATCATCCTACGTAGGCATTTTTTCACTTCCTATGTCACCAACGTTTGTATGAAGGGTCGTCGATGGCTTTTCAGGGTTTCCCCGATTGCTCTTGTTCACATATATAAGCTTGTTCACTTTTTTTGACGTGCCGCAATCATCTCGAATCTTCATGAAAGTACTTCCAATATCCAAGTTGCCATTGCCCTCTAAAATGCATGTACATAAAAATACAACTTTAATCATACTTACACTATCTGTACGTGAAACCTACATCCCACTTCTTTGCACAGACTAAAATTTCTGGTGGAAAATAATACTGAAAGCGGGGAATAAATGTCGAAACTTACATTATCTGTAGGAGAAACCTACATTCCACCTATTTGCATAGACATAAATTGCTGGTGCAAAACAAAACTGAAAGTAGAGAATGAGTGCCCAAACTGACATTTTTTGTAGGTGAAACCTACAGACTACCTCTTTGCACAAATATAAATTGATAGTGCAAAACATAACTGAAAACAGAGATTCAATGTCCAACCTGCTATTATCTTTAGGTGAAACCTACATCCAACCTCATTGCACAGACATAATTGATGGTGCAAAACAAAAATAGCTGAAAGGAGAGAATAAATGCCCAACCTAACATTATCTGTAGGTGAAACCTACATCCTACCTCATTGCACAGACATAATTTCTAGTGCAAAACAAAACTGAAAGTAGAGAACAAATTCCCTACAAGAGTGTTCAAATGCATAACAATCATATGTCTTATGTTATATGGTACAATATTTTTGAAATAATTGGTAGTCAATGAACCAACACTTTAATGGTCATATACTTTAAGAATCTAGGGGTATAAAAAATTCTATTAATTAAAGTCTTTTCAATGAACCAACACTTTCTACCTATTTATAGCTAAACTGTAAAATAACACAAACATTTAATGCTGGTGCTAAACAAATTATTACTAACCTGCGATAATAGGCGATGTTGGCGGAGCTTCATACATTCTCCCATAGATAAACTTCAGATATGTAATATTAGTTGGGAATGCATCCGCCTTGGGTCATTGCTCTTCAATTAACCTGACTTGGTTCATTGCTCTTCTTGTAGCCTTTTCCGGTCAAGCTTACATGATGTCGCAAGAGAGATGGATTGCCGGATCTTGGTCGCTGCTAAATTTAGATTACTGTTACGCACTAAATGGAAGAAAAAAAAGAGGAAAGGCTGGGTGCCTGGGTGGGTGAGGACAAACGAGAGAGGATAGAGACCAGACAGAAGTATGGTGGGTGGGAGTGAGTCAAATGCAAGGAGTGGGGTATATGGGGTACACTACTGGGGTACAAAGTGGTGTACCCATAGCATGATTGTTTATGCAAACCTCTCCCAAGGGCATAACAAGGAGTGTCGTTTGCAAGAAATGACCCACCAAAACACTCTCCCGGAACTCATGCCCCAAATCAAATTAGTGACTGTTAGCGTATATTATGTATAGATATTAGTTTATGTATATCATGTATCATGGTGAGCCTATCTTATTGGGCTTGTAACTTTAACTTGTATATATATCCCCCGGTATCAATGAAACAATCAAGTCATTCAGTTCACCAAATTTTACATGGTATCAGAGCAAAATCCCTAAAACCCTAGGCCTACCGCTGCAAGTTCGTCTCTCGATTCGCCGGTCGCAAGCTCCGTTCGTCCCGTCCGTCCGCATCCGGCATCGTCCGTCCAGTACTTCCGGTCATTGCAGAAGTTTCCTCCCGTCCGGCAGAAGATCCCGTCCAACCAGATTCCGTAGTTTCGTCGAAGTAGATCTGCTCTTCCAGCAGATTCGTCCGTCCGGCGTCGTCCGTCCAACGCCGCCAGCACTTCAGGTCATTGTAGAATTTTTTTTCCAAGCAGATCTGTCCGTCAATTTTGGTTTCCAGCAAATGCCACCCAAAGCTTTGTCGACAGAGTTTTGTCCAGCAGTTTGGTTTTCCGTCCAAGTGGTCCGTCCAGCAGTTTGGTTTCCAGCCTGAATTTTGGTTTGATTTTCCTTCTGTCCAAGTGGTCCGTCCAGATTTGTCCACACTTTTGCAATTTGTCCAGTAGTTTGGATTTGTTTGGTGTGAAAACAACAACATAAAATATCAGGATGACTAGTACCTCGTGTGATTGGTTGATTGATAGCGGTGCTTCTCATCATATGACGGGTACTCTGTCTCATATGTTCAATATTGAGGATATTTTATCTCATCCAATTTGTCTTCTCGATGGCTCCCGGATTCAGGCTACTAAAAAGGGAAGTGTCTGTGTGACCTCTAGTCTGGTTCTCCATGATGTGTTTTACGTCCCCACGCTACATGGTCATTTGATTTTTGTTGGGTGTTTGATTCGGGACACCACCTGTTATGTTACTTTTAATGATTTTGGTTGTGTAATCCAGGACCGTTCGTCGAAGGTGGTGATTGGACATGGTGAAAAGCGAAACGGAGTATACATCCTGGTTTCTTCCTCTGCGTCGGCTAATGTGGCTAACGTGGATCCTTTGCTTCTTCATCAACATTTGGGTCATCCTTCCTCAGACATTATTTCCCTTTTACAGTCCAGTAAATCAGGTTCTGTTATCAAGAAACTTCAAGCTTGTGAGATTTGTTTTTTGTCTAAACAAACTCGTTCTTCCTTTCATGTTAGTCATAATAAAGCTGAAGCAATTTTTGATTTAATTCATTGTGATTTATGGGGTCCTTATTCCCCTTGTCTCTCATCTGATGCTCATTATTTTCTCACAATTGTTGATGACTTTTCTCGTGATGTTTGGGTATATCTTATTCGTACTAAAAGTGAGGTAACATCTTGTCTTAATTGGTTCTTTACCATGATTCACACCCAATTCTCTAAAATCATCAAAGTAGTCCGGTCTGATAATGGCACCGAATTTCTCAATGCCCCTTTGCGTCAATATTATGACTCCATGGGTGTTTGTGTCCAAACGTCGTGTGTTGGTACCCCTCAACAAAATGGTCGAGTAGAACGAAAGCATCGTCACATTCTCAACGTTGCTCGTTCTCTCATGTTCCAAGCGTCTCTTCCTGTTGAATTTTGGGGGGAATGTGTCAAAACTGTTGTCTATTTAATTAATCGCACACCGACAAAACTCTTGGGTGGGAAATCTCCTCTTGAAGTACTCTCGTCCAAACCACAAGATTTGAGTCATATCCGGGTTTTTGGTTGTCTCTGTTTTGTCCGTCAAACACCTAAATCCCTAAACAAATTTTCTCCCCGTAGCGTGAAATGCATGTTTATTGGGTATCCCTATGGCACAAAAGGGTGGCGGGTGTATAACTTGGACACTCACCAATATTTTCACGCTAGGGATGTCGTGTTTGACGAACCACAATTCCCATTCTCTGTTCCAAACCTTACCAATTCCGTCCAACCCATCTTAAACCCCGCCGACGTCGACTTTCCTGACGTCTCTCCGCCGGCAGTCTCCATCGGTGACACTACCACTGAGCAGCCCGTCATCTCTCCTCCGTCTCCCATACCAGTCCCGTCAACCGAACAGCCCCCTCTTCCTGTCACTGTCCAGTCCACGGGTAAGTCTCCCTCGTCCGTCCCGTCTCCTTTTCCTTTACCTCCTCGCACACGTCGCCTCCCCACACACCTCAATGACTATGTCCTCCATTCTGTGTCTACCGTCACTCCGTCTTCCTCTTCACCTAGCTCAGTCTCGTCTGGTACCCGGTTCCCGATTACTAACTATGTTCATTATGATAAGTTGCATACCAGGTACAAGGGCTTTATTGGTGCTATAGATGCTTCCCCGGTTCCCACTTCTTATAGAGAAGCCGCCAGGTTTGCTTCTTGGAGGGACGCTATGGCACAGGAATTCAATGCATTGGAGCGTAATCATACCTGTGAAATTACTGATTTACCTCCTAATCGGCGGGCCCTTGGTTGTCAGTGGGTATATCGTACTAAATATCGGTCTGACGGTACTAAGGAGCGGGATAAAGCACGTCTGGTTGTCTTGGGAAATCATCAGGAGGTGGGGGTCGATTTCACTGATACATTTGCCCCCGTAGCCAAGTTGGCTACCGCTCGGGTGTTGTTGTCTGTCGCAGTTGCATGCGGATGACAAGTTGACCAGCTGGATGTCAACAATGCCTTCTTACACGGGGATCTTAAGGATGAGATTTATATGAGGCTCCCACCTGGATACTCTCATTTGTTCCCTGGGAAAGTATGTCGTTTGCGAAAGTCTTTATATGGGCTCCGTCAGTCTCCCCGTAATTGGTTTGCCAAGCTTCATCTAGCTTTGCGTCAGTATGGTTTTCGCCAAGCTCATGCAGATCATACTCTTTTTGTTCTCTGTCTTGGTCCTGATATACTTGTTGTTCTTGTTTATGTGGATGACATTCTTGTTGCAGGCAATAATCCCTCTTTGTGCACTTCTTTTAAGACGTATTTGGATGCTTGTTTTCAGCTCAAAGATCTTGGACCGGTCTCTTATTTTCTGGGTATAGAGTGTGCTCGATCTTCTACTGGTATGGTGCTTAATCAGCGAAAATACACCTTAGACATTCTTCAGGAGCACAACCTCTCCGGATGCAAGCCTGCCGACACCCCACTACCCAGCAACCATAATCTAGCCCGTTCTACTAGTGCTGAGCTTCGGGATGCTGCCAAGTATCGTCGTCTTGTTGGCCGTTTTTTGTATTTGACTATCACTCGGCCGGATATTTGTTATGCTGTTCATGCCTTGTCTCAGTTTATGCAGGCTCCACGTCTAGACCATTGGACCGCGGCTCTTCGTGTTCTCCGGTATCTTAAAGGGCATCTAGGACAGGGTATCCTCCTTCGTCGAGATAGTGACCTGACTTTGACGGCCTATTCAGATTCAGATTGGGCGAGTTGCCCGCTCACTCGTCGCTCTGTCACCGGTTATTTTGTCCTTCTTGGTGGGTCCCCTATCTCTTGGCGCACTAAGAAGCAAACTACAGTGTCCCGTTCGTCGGCAGAGGCAGAGTACCGCGCCATGGCTAACGCCTGCGCTAAAATCAGGTGGCTCCGTGGTCTTTTGGCCGCTTTACAGGTCCCTTGTGTTGCTACTCCGCGCTTGTATTGTGATAATAAGTCTGCTCTCTTCATTGCGGCTAATTCGGTCTTTCATGAGCGTTCAAAACACATCGACATCGATTGTCATATAGTTCGGGAATGCCTACAACGTGCTCATATAGTCACAGCTTATGTTCCTACGCGGCTGCAGACAGCTGATATCTTCACGAAGGCGCTCCCCGATCCTCTTTTTCGTTCTCTTTTGTCCAAGTTGGGCATTTTTGATTTATATGCTACAACTTGAGGGGGAGTGTTAGCGTATATTATGTATAGATATTAGTTTATGTATATCGTGTATCATGGTGGGCCTATCTTATTGGGCTTGTAACTGTAACTTGTATATATATCCCCCAGTATCAATGAAACAATCAAGTCATTCAGTTCACCAAATTTTACAGTGACATAATGCTTTTATAAAAAAATATTCTGACAAAATTTTATTTCTCATGTACTTTGTAGTCTCTAGAGTATTACAGAGTACTCAGTATTTTATTTTGTAATGAGATAATATGGAACTGTATATTGGCATTTTAAAAATATTTTATGAGGTTTAAGTATTATATTAAAATAGAAAAAAATAACATATACTCCATCTGTGTCAAATTTTTTTAAAAAATGTTTTGTAAAATAAAAAGTAAAAGCTTTTTCAATGACATCAAAAAATGAGAAATTGAAAAGAAAATAAAATAAGAAACAATAGAAAAAATAAATGAAAGAAAAATTGATATTTTTTATTTGAGATGCATGAAGTAAATGTTTGTTTTTCGTTATGTTTATTTTTTTATTTGAAACACAAACATTTTTGAGATTTTTAAAACATTATTTAAAAAATATAGAAAAAAAATTTAAAAAAACCTTTTCAAAAAAATCAACAAAGAGAAGAAAAAAAGATTAAAAATGGAAAATGAGCAATGTTGTCCGACATAGTTTGAAAAATAGGCATCAATGTTCTTTTTTCGCTAAAAATGATCAAAAAATAGCCAAAAATGATCACGAGGTTTGTATGCAGTATTTCGAAACTACGAGAATTTGATAAATAAGTTTTGGAAATAAAGTCGGCATTGGTGCCCACTTTCTAAACTACTTGGGCACTACAATTATTAGGTCTATATTTTTGATATTATAGGTTGATATCATTATCATTTTAAGTCCATAGTTTAAAGAAAAAAACATGAATACATGATTCTCATTCTTTTTCAATATTTTACTTCATACTTCTATTGTAATCTTTCTTCCATTTTTGTCCAAACTTTGTTGGATAATAACTATGCCTTTCAGTGGCGGATCCAGCCACTCGTGCTCGGAGCATACGCCCCTAGTGAATTTTTTTAAAAAGGGATTATAAGAGAGAAAAAGATAATGATCCACATATTTCATGGTGGAAAAAAAGAGATATTTTGGAACAGATGGAGTACAAAAGAAAATTAAAATTATTTTCCAGATGCATAGGCTGTAGTGTTATTCTCAACTATATGTGCCTCTTATTCTCGGCCCACCAAAATTTTTATATAATATCAGAGTAGATCCGGTCTGGGTTTGATTCTTCATGGTTGTTTTGACGTGGGAGCTATCTGTTCGTAGTTTGGATTAAGTTGGCTATAAGAGCTAGAGAAGACACTGCTCGTTGTGTCGATTAGCTATAATCAATTGAGATACTAGATCCATTTTTCTAAGTAATAACTAAACCAGACTCGTTACTATTTGAGGAGTGTTGAAGTTTCCACATCAAAAAATAAATAAGAACACCACTAGCATTTATAGAAAGGTAAACCTCTACCTATTAGTTAAGCTTTTGGGTGAAAAGTGGATTGCAACTTTATATGCAAGTGGTTAATTTAACCCGATACTCTACCCGTTGTTCTCGACCCGTTAGATTTTTACAAAAAGTTATTAAATCACATTGTTTATTGTTTGAGACTCCCGACCTTGGATCGGACTAAATTGATCCTAATGTTTCATGTCTCCATGACTCAACCTAATCGATTGGGTTCAATCTTTGTGATCTCAATCCTTTTTGCTTTTCTTCTTTATGTATGTTCACAATATTTGCATAATATTGGCATACACGCGGAGAGTATAAATTGAATTGAATGGAAGACATGGAAGAATAAAATCGATATTTCAGTGTTCAATAACTACGAGCGTGTGGGATGTGCTCCAGGCGCCCATTCATAAAGTCCGTCTCTAACCGACCGCCGCCGCCGTCCGGCGCTGATACCGCTCCTCCTCCGCCATCCCGCCAACAAAATTACAACTTCCAAATCAACCTCCCCTACCGGCAGCCGGACCCGGATGAAGCACGCCGCCGCCGCTCAAAAATCGCAGAACTCGTTTTTTGCTGCGCCGTATGGGCGTTTACCATCGCCTTACTGGCGCTCTGCTATCGCCGTTCCCCCGATTTCCGCGCCGATTCGCTCTCCGTTTCCGATTTCAACATCTCGAGTAATAACCTCGTCGCCGGGAATTGGGACCTCCGATTCACAGTCCGGAACCCTAACGGCAGGAAGACAGTCATCAACTACGAGCACATCCGCGCCGAAATCTTCTACGGTAAGGTGCCGCTCGCGGAGACCGTCTTGAAGCCGTTCTCTCAGGAACCGAAGAACGAGACTTCCTTGGAGGCGAGATTCGTCGCCAATGGAACCTTCGTCGACGACTGGATCGTGGAAAGGTTGAACGAGGACATGGAATTCAATGTCAGATTTTATGCATCGGTTTCCTTGAAGGCCGGATGGCGGAGGTCGGAAGAACAGGACTTTACGGTGTACTGTAGGAACTTGAAGGTTACGGTTGATGACGGCGGCGGCGGCGGCCATGGCTCCTCTGATTCTGGAGGGCCAAAACGGTGCCGCATTCCGTATCCCTGGCTCTTCCTCTGAGAGGTTATTTTCGTCCAAATTTGCAGGCCTTTGGGAATTTGTAATACCAGTATATACTAAAGTGGAGGAAATGAAGTGAACATAAAATAATGAGTATTAAAGAATTTGCCTATTTAAAAAAATAGCTATTCCCACGATTCTTTTACATATAAAAAAGTAGTAATTTAAAAATGATCTAAATACCTATAATAATCTATTTATAAAATTAATGATTCATATCTTTACTACCTCTTGTTAGAGTATTACATTTAGAAGAGGAATCGGGGACTGGAAGAAGAGTTTAGTAGATTATAGGAACTACTCTTATGTTTTAAACAAATATTATTTTATTTTTTATATATCCCAAAAACACTTCTATACATGTTTATACTGTCTAAGATTTAACATATTTATCTTTTATTTTGGGTATAAGTTATTTTAAAAAACAAACCAATAGGATTTCTGCTTGGGCTTTGCCACAACAGATTGGCAAGGAGGTCTATACATTTATCGAACACACCGGACCACATCGTTCTTCATTCTCTCTATCTATACATCTTTATTTGATTGCATTAATTATTTTTAAAATTAATTAATTAAATAATAAAAATTACTCCCTCCATCCAATTTTAAATTATCTGTTTCGATTTATGATGTTTGAGTGAAATTATTTTCAAATCATTTTATATGAAAATCGATGTAAATTTAAAAAAATTACATTTTTTAAAAATATATCAAAAAATCTACGAAACTAATCGTGACATGACTGTAATTTTATTAAACGATTAACGAAAAAAAGAAAGAAAGAGAATGGAGTTTGACTATGTGAATAATGAACAACCAATTTAATTTGATACAGAAGCAGTAATATTTACAACATATATGTACAAATGCATCATATATTCTTTCACACCAATTTTTAAATCTTATTCTCCAAAAAAACTAACTTTAGTTTCCAAGAAAATAAAGTAGATTTGTTTTCAACTCCGGCAAAATTTTAATAAAAATTAAATTGGATTAAAATAAAATTATATTATTAATCTATTTTTTTGTTTAAATTTTTTTAGTAAGTTGGCGAATTGACGTCTGTACACTGTCACTTGTAGTATGAAAAATTTAAAATTAGTAGAATTTTTATATGACGCTGATGTGGATAAGAGAGATGATAGAATGAAATAAAGTACCTAGGTTATGTATACCCTCCACGTTTAGGGCATTATTTATGTTTTGATGGGAAGAAGCATAAAATGAATCATGAACTAGTTCACAAGCTCGAACATACGGTAGGACCTCAGGTGCTACCAACTCGTACTTCATTGATATTTTTTGTCTTTTCTAACTACGCAACACCTATCGACAGCTAATGAAATTTCAAAATACTATTGTTGGGCTCATTAATATTTCATGGTTAGAACTAAGCTTAAACTCGGATCATTTCGATTCCGAGTTCTCGTCTTGTATATCTAAACTTAGGGGCTGTTTGACAACTTCTAAATCGGTAAGTGCTGAACCAGTAAAAAGTCTGAACTATTAAGTGCTAAACCAGTAAGAGGTCTGAACCATTAAAAGCTAGTATATTGTTTAACTATTCAGAGACAAATGTCTGATCAATTCAGATAAGAGGTCTTAACCATTCAGACTCTGTATAATACTTAACCATTCAGAGGCAAATCTCTTAACCATTCAGACATTTGAACCATTAAGAGGCTGAAACAAACAGTCTGAACCATTAAGTGCTGAACCATTCAGACATCTGAACCATTAAGAGGCTGAAACAAACCGCCCCTTAGTTTTAATATAGCTGAATCTCATAGAGTAAATCTCGTATGGCTTTTGAATCGAGTACCAAATTGAGATCAGGCTTAACTTTCAAAAGTTTGAGATTAATGCTAAATGATAAACTTGTTAAGTAGTTGTTATCGTATGGGCTTTATGCCTGTTTGATATCTTTTTTGCTATTAAATACGGAGTATTATGGAATACCATTTTCGTGAGCAGGGGCATATCTACCTAGGAGCAATTGGGGGCTAATGCCCCTACTAAATTTTGGTGTTAAATCATTTTTTTTGTTTTGAAAAAAAAAAACTATACTTTGGACTGCATGCCCCCATCTAAATTGGGATTGACCCCATCTAAAATTGTGTATTCCCAACAAAAATCAATTAAATCTTATGTAATTAAGCTAGTTTTTATTTTTTGTTTACTTTTTTTGAAATGTATTTTATTAAATATAATTTATGGTTTATAATAAGATTTTATACTTCCTCCGTCCCGTGAAACATTTCCCCTTTCTTTTTTTATTCGTCCCACAAAACACTTCTCATTTCTATTAAAAAGTCACTTTTACCCCTTACTTTTTCCTACCCTAACTATCACATCATACCTTTTTACTAATAATCTATTCATCAAATCATACTTTTACCCATCACATCAAAGGACATTTTTGGAAATTCAATACCAAAATACACTCCCTTAAATCCCTCCTAAAAAGCAAATGTCTCATGTTTCACGGGACGGAGGGAGTATTACATACTCCTTCTGTCCCTAAAAACATCAAAGATTTTGATTTTTAAGAGATTTTAGGTTATTGTATTTTGGTGTTGAATTTTAAAAATGCATTTGAATGTGATAGGTAAAAATAAGATTTGATGAGTAGATTAATAATGAATAGATGTGATGTGATAGATATGTTTAAACTTAGTAGGGGCAAAAAGGACATTTTAATAGAAATGAGATAAGGTTTTTGGGACAGATGAAAATACTCTCTTCGTCCCAAAAAAAAGTTCTCATTTTGAATAGTATTTAGTCAAATATTTACACGTTTTGACTACAAATTGTGAGAAAGGTATATTGAATTATGAAATAAATTTTATATAATTGGATTCATCTTAGGATCTTGTTTTGATACCTCAAATTTTTTTAACATTTCTTTATTTAGATTATATTTAATTTAGAGTCAAAGTGTGTAACAGTTTGACCAATTTATGGTCAAAATGAGAAATTTTTTATGGGACAGAGGGAGTAAGGCCCCGTTCCGTTCAACTTATTTTTTCTTATTCTTATTAAAATCAGATCAGACCATATCAGATTAGATCAAATCATGACTTATTAAAATCAGATCCCATCAAGAATTATTATTATCATCATCATCATCATCATCATCATCATCATCATTATTGTTCTTAAAAATGAAAAAGAATAAACTTTAGAAATATGTTAAATAGAAAACTGAGAAAGTAATCCTTAATTAATAGACATCGAAAAAATGAGTTTTAAAATACATTGACAATGTCAATATAATATACTTTTAAAATATATTTTTATTGCTACTTATAATTTGAGTTTCTAAACTTTTGATCTTTTATAAGGATGAGATATTTTAATAAAAATACTATCTCTTCTATATATTGATTATATAAATTTAATTACTTTTTAATGTATATCTAAATTAAATATTTATTATAATATATAATTCTAATTTTACAAAAAATTATCATAAAATAAAAAATATTATTACATTATCATATGAATGATTATTCTAATATATGATCAGATCAGACCAGATCAGATTAGAACTTATTAGAATCAGATCAGGTCAAAAAAAATAAGGTGAACGGAACGAAGCCTAAGTAGGAAGCTTTTCATGGACGGGAGTATTAAACAATATTTTACATTCAATAATGTTTAAAAAAGAATTAATTATTTTTTTGTTATTCCATGTTGTCTATTTAAAAAGATCAAAGACCAATTATGCCCCCATCTACTCGAATTCTTGGATCCGCAGCTGTTGGTGAGCCTATATGTTGATAATGTTTAGATTTTTCATTTTTAAAGTTAACATGTATCATTTAAAAAAGAAATATTTGTACTAAATAGTACTAAAACTTAAGTCATTTACCTAAATAGCACTTAAATTGTTTTATTCCCAAAATAGCACTTAATAATGTCCATAATGACTAGTGATGACAAACATTTACTTGAATAATAACTAATGCATAATGACTAAAAGTGCTACATTGGAGGAAAAAGTACATACAGTACTATTTAAGGAAAGTCATTAAGTTTTAGTACTATTTACGTAAATTTCCTCTTAAAAAAATTATTAAGAATCTTGTGGTCTCGCAAAATTGCTATGGCTCTCCAAAATTAGTGTTCACATGTTTGAACTCTATAGGGAAAGTAATTCTTTGAGTTTCAATCAATTAATAAAAGTATGAATATATACTAAATCATACGGAGTAATAGATTTATTGACAAAAAGCATCAATGAAGGTATATACTATGTAAGCACTAAATGGGAGGCAATGGAGAAGGGCACTTAGGTTTGAGCTTTCATTTGCTCTTGAGACGATCGTTATTGTCAATTTGTCATCATCACTTAGAGCACTGGTAACGGGTGTAACGCCCGCCGGCGTGAGAGGGCGTTTAATGTCCTGGCGGCGTTAAACACCGCCCCCCTCCGGGCATGATCGCCCTTGCGTCAAACGAATGACGCTCTGTCATTCGTCTCCCCCTCCCTCCTAACGGCTTTTTTAGCCGTTGCAGCCCAAATTTCAAAATTTTTTTTTTTTATAAATTCAACCCCCAAACCAATCTCTCACATCTTCAATTTCTTTTTCTTCCCAAATTTTAAATTTCGAAATTACCCCCTCCCAATTTTCAACATGAATCCTTCCGGCTCCGGCTTCTTTCACGACGATCTCCCGCCGAGTGACGCCACGATGTGGTTCTACCAAGAATGGGGCGATCGACCGCCGATCTACGAGACACAATAGTCGGGGTACGTCGACCGAGATTCGGTTCCAAAGACTCAATCGGCGGAAAAGTCACAAAGCCAAAAGCACGTTGACCGAGGCGGCACGGTCAATCCAAAAGTGGTCCCCGGAGGAGGAGTGCATATTGGCATCGGCTTGGGTTGACGTCTCCGAGCATCCTATCATTGATAAAAAATTTATTTTTTCTAATATAGTAATGTTTTTATTTATATATATTATATTTAATAGTGTCTAAAAAAATTGTGTAATACATTTTTAAAGGTACGAAGCAAACGAAGGATGCGATGTGGGATCGTATCGAGGAGAAGTTCTTCACGGCGATGAAGAAGGACGGCTCCTACCGAACCCGGGACCAACTCACTTCCCAATGGTGCCACATCAACAAAAAATTCCCAAAGTTTAATGGAGTTTACGAGGAATGCTCCTGGTCCCGGAGGAGCGGCACAAACACGTCGATGTTCTCCGGCTTGTGACGACCCGATATCAAGACGACGAGAACCAAGACAAGGTCCCCATCGATCTTTGGAAGATTTTGAGTCGTTCCCCGAAGTGGCAACAACTCAACAATTCCAACGGAGGATCGTTCCGGAAAAGATCCACCGTCGATGCCGAGGTTGAGGTCGACGAGACTAATAATAAAATTAATTAATTAAATAATAAAAATTACTCCCTCCATTTCATTTTAAATTATCTGCTTCGATTTATGATATTTAAGTGAAATTATTTTGAAATCATTTTATATGAAAATCGATGTAAATTTAAAAAAATTACATTTTTAAAAAATATATCAAAAAATCTACGAAACTAGTTGTGACATGACTATGTAATTTTATTAAATGATTAACGAAAAAGGGATAGAAAGAGAATGGAGTTTGACTATATGAATAATGAACAACCAATTTAATTTAATACAGAAGGAGTAATATTTACAACATATATATAGAAATGCATCATATATTCTTTCACACCAATTTTTAAATCTTATTCTCCAAAAAAACCAACTTTAGTTTCCAAGAAAATAAACTAGATTTGTTTTCAACTCCGAAAAAATTTTAATAAAAATTAAATTGGATTAAAATAAAATTATATTATTAATCTATTTTTTTGTTTAAAAAAATTGTAATAAGTTGGCGAATTGACGTATGTACACTGTCACTTGTAGTATGAAAAATTTAAAATTAGTATAATTTTGTATGACGCTGATGTGGATAAGAGAGATGATACAATGAAATAAAATATGTAGGTTATGTATACCCTCCACATTTAGGGCATTATTTATGTTTTGACGGGAAGAAGCATAAAATGAATCATGAACTAGCTCACAAGTTTGAACATACTGTAGGACCTCAGACACTACCAACTCTTCTAAAACCAATTGGTGTTAGAAGATGCACATACCCTAGCCTTATAGTGCATTCAACACACAAGCGCCCACGACATTCGATTGTGACTTAGCCCACATAGCCTCCGCCACGGGACAATTGCTGCACACATGGCCAACAATCTCCCCCTCAGCAATTGCTCCCGCTGGGAATCAAACTCGTGACCACTTGTAAGACATCAGGCGCTACCAACTCTTCTAAAACCAATTGGTGTTAGAAGAAGCGCATACCCTAGCCTTATAGTGCATTCAACACACAAGCGCTCACGACATTCGATTGTGACTTGACCCACATAGCTAGCCTCCGCCACGGGACAATTGCTGCACACATGGTCAACACATACATGTACTGCGAGACACATATACTTGAGTAATGATTGAAGGGTGTTTTTAGTTTAAGGAAATACTTATTTTATGTTTTTAGTTTAAGTAATTTTAGTTAAAATTTATATAGAAAAAGAATATTAAAAATGAAAATATAAAGGGGCTCGCAAGGAACCACGCCCATGAAATTTGTGAAAAGGGATGGAAGGGGTGAAAAAGAGAAATTATCATGTCATTTAATTGAGAAAGATAAATTAATATTTTAGTTCATTTATTAATGAAGTAGATTAATTTTTTTTTAAAGATGAGCTTCATTCTCGTGGGCTCCCTAAGGTTTGGAAAGACAATCAAAAAAAGATATATATTAAATTTCGATCGCATATTAGTCACAAATAGTAGAATATGCACATGGTAATTGCAAAGCCCTATACTTAGCTTAATTACTATTGTTGGGCTCATTAATATTTCATGGTTAGAACTAAGCTTAAACTCGGATCATTTCGATTCGGAGTTCTCGTCTTGTATATCTAAACTTAGTTTTAATTTAGCTGAATCTCATAGAGTAAATCTCGTAGGCTTTTGAATCGAGTACCAAATTGAGATCAGGCTTAACTTTCAAAGTTTTGAGATTAATGCTAAATGATAAACTTGTTATCGTATGGGCTTTATGCCTGTTTGGTATCTTTTTTGCTATTAAATATTATTGAATACATACTAAATCATACTCCGCAATAGATTTATTGACAAAAAGCATCAATGAAGGTATATACTATGTAAGCACTAAATGGGAGGCAATGGAGAAGGGCACTTAGGTTTGAGCTTTCATTTGCACTTGAGACGATCGTTATTGTCATCATCACTGGTAACGGGTGTAACGCCCGCCGGCGTGAGGGGGCGTTTAACGCCCCGGCGGGTTAAACACCGCCCCCCTCCAGGCGTGATCGGGCGTGATCGCCCCTCCGTCATTCCTCTCCACCTCCCCCCCTAATGGCTTTTTTAGCCGTTGCGGCCCAAATTTCAAATTTTTTTTCCTTATAGATTCAACCCCCAACCAATCTCTCACATCTTCTCCATCTTCAATCTCTTCTTCTTCCCAAATTTTAAATTTTGAAATTACCCCCTCCCAATTTTCAACATGAATCCTTCCGGCTCCGACTTCTTTCCCGACGATCTCCCGCCGAGTGACGCCGCGATGTGGTTCTACCAAGAGTGGGACGATCGACCGCCGATCTACGAGACGCAACAATCGGGGTACGCCGACCGAGATTCGGTTCCGGAGACTCAACCGGAACCGTCCGGATCGAAAAAAAGTACACGCCGGAAAAGCCACAAAGCCAAAAGCACGTTGACCGAGGCAGCACGGTCAATCCAAAAGTGGTCCCCGGAGGAGGAGTGCATATTGTCGTCGGCTTGGGTTGACGTCTCCGAGCATCCTATCATTGGTAAAAATTTATTTTTTCTAATATATTTATGTTTTTATTTATATATATATTATATTTAATGGTGTCTAAAAAAATTGTGTAATACATTTTTAAAGGTACGGAGCAAACGAAAGATACGATGTGGGATCGTATCGAGGAGAAGTTCTTCGCGGCGATGAAGAAGGACGGCTCCTACCGAGCCCGGGACCAACTCACTTCCAAATGGTGCCACATCAACAAAAAAGTCCGAAAGTTTATGGGAGTTTACGAGGAATGCTCCCGATCCCGGAGGAGCGGCACGAACGACCCCGATGTTCTCCGGCTTGCCACGACCCGGTATCAAGACGACGGGAACCAAGGCAAGGTGCCCATCGATCTTTGGAGGATTTTGAGTCGTTCCTCGAAGTGGCAACAACTCAACAATCCCGATGGCAGATCGTTCCGGAAAAGATCCACCGTCGATGCCGAGGTTGAGGTCGACGAGACTATCAGTTTTACCGATCAAATCCCTCCCTTTAACGTTGCGGATTCCGATGACGAGGACCCCATTCCACGGCTGATCGGAAAAAAGAATGCAAAATCCATTGCCTTTGGTTCGGGAGGGTCCGCCTCTGTTTCCGCTTCTCCCCGCGACGAAATCGGCCGGGTAATGATTGAACAACTTCGGGCATTCAATCTCCAAGAACAAGAGAGGTTGAAGCTAAATGAGCAGGAGACCGAGATGAAAGTCATGCAAACCGACCCCGCGACGTTGTCGGAGTTTGGACGAATGATCTACGAGCAAAGAATGAGAGAAATCAAAGAGAAATATGATTTACCTTAGTTTTTTTATTAATGTATATTTTTTTAAATTATTGTCGCTTTTTTTATTTAATTAATGTATTTTTTATTATTCGTGTTTCAATTTAAATAAATAATAAATTAATTACATTTTATTAATTTAATTTTAGAAGATGTATATTTTAAAATGTAAAAAATGAAGGTTTGAAGCCCCAATTTGAAGCCCCGGGACTTCAAAACCATTTCCAGTGAATTTTGGATGTAAGTTAAAGCTGACGTGACAGAGAGAAAGTTTGAAGCCCCGGGGTTTCATGACCATTACCAGTGTTCTTAAAAACAATATAATGTAGGAACATGGGAGTAATTTTGTCATCATCAAAAGACAAGTTGCGTAACGATCATAATCCCTGAAAATAAGAATTAAAAATTACACAGCTATATAGCCGCGATTCAATGGCTTGAAGTGGAAAATCATGCAATGTCGTCGCTTTGACAGCGGTCACACTAGATGAGTCACACCTGACGTGGCACAACAGAGGGGTGCGACACTCGGTAATCACCTTCGTCGCGCCCATACTACACACATAGTCTTATATGGAATATAAATTTATGAGTTATACAATATTCATGTCAATTAAAATAAGAACTGATGTGCAACTAAACTTAAATTATGTGAAATGAATAATTAATTATTTATAATCACGGATGAATAGTAAATATCGTATTTCCAACTACACCATATATATTGCCAAAAAATCAAGTTCATTTATTAGAGTATTAAAATGAAAGAAATGAACAATTTTTTGAAAGCAACAACAAAATATGCATTCATACCTCAATTAAAACAACTCAAAAACATACCTCATTTTTTTGCGTGTGATGGGGTGAATAAAAGAAAAAAGAATTACCCCTAAAATTACTTTAATCACCGGCCATTAACTCAGAACAGTTCCCACTCGCTTTAATTTGGGACCATTATCTATAAACAGTTCCCCCTCCCGAGCAAAACGCACCCCTAAGATTCATCAAAAACTTAGCTGAAATGATTACAACTTATAGTAATGTCTGCAAGAAATATTACCTTCCCGATTCCCAAGATCAAACTTCATCACTTCCCACACTTCTTCTTCTTCTTCCTCCACTGATTTTCAGTTACATATACTGATCAGATTGCATATACAGTGGCACTGTGCACTCCGTTTTCTTTAAACAGCAAAAAGTTTGAAACTTTTTTTTTTGCAATGGGGGTTCCTTCATTTTACAAATGGCTAGTCAAGAAATACCCAAAAATAGTAGAAAATGCAGTGGAAATGGAAGGGGTTGAAGTTGATTCATCCTTGCCCAACCCAAATGGACTTGAATTCGATAACTTTTATCTGGACATGAATGGGATTATCCATCCATGTTTCCACCCGGAAGAAACCGTACTTACTCTCCCCCCCTTCTTTAAAAAAACAATTGTTTCTTTAAAAAGAAAGAAAAAAAGGTTTCTTTGGTATTCTTGATTATTTAATCTTTCGGAGAGTAAATGGTTTCTGGGTTTTGTGTGTGCTGATCAGATGTTTCCTCCAACTACGTACGAGGAAGTCTTCAACAGCATCTTTGACTACATCGATCGGCTGTTTAACATTGTACGGCCTCGAAAGCTGCTGTACATGGCAGTAGGTGGGTAAAACTGCAATTACACTATATAGTACTGTATTTGTTGGCATATCATCTAGCACATGGTTTGGTTTGTGAGAATGATGTGGTCTGATTTCGGGCAGATGGTGTTGCGCCGCGGGCTAAAATGAACCAACAGAGAGCCCGGCGGTTCCGGACAGCCATGGATAAGGAGATCATGGTAATCTGATGCATGTATCTTAGGTTAATAGGTTTCATTTTTCTTTTCTTTTTATGGTCTTTTTGGTGGAACATAAAACATTTCCTGAGCCATCAACCATAATCTTGTTAAGCTTGGGTCATTAAACACAAACTTGACCTTTGGTTTGTGATTTTATTGAAGATCTGTTTGCATCATAATAGTTTAGACAATGTGGCGAAACAGGAGGAAGAGGAAAGGAAGTTAAGGCAGAAGTTTGCGAGTGAGGGTAAAGAGGTCCTAGCGAAAGAGGAATCTGAAGTATCAGATTCGAATGTTATAACGCCGGGCACCTTTTTTATGTATGCACTTTCTGCAAAACTAAGAGGTTACATCCAAGAAAGGATCAGATCAAATCCTGGCTGGAAGGGTGTAAAGGTTTGATCTTTGGCCCCTAAGACCTCATATTTTGTACGGAGTAATTTTCTTTAAAACCATTGCTTGGAATTCTTGTTTAGGTTTTAAGATTAGTATTGTCTGTTGGGCAGGTGATTCTTTCTGATTCTAATGTTCCCGGTGAAGGGGAACACAAGATAAACTCTTTCATCCGTGCGCAACGTACTTTTCCAGATTATAATCCTAACACTCATCACTGCCTCTATGGTTTGGTAACTAGGACTTTTTAAATGTTTTTGTTTGGGTTAATTGTAAACCTGAAACTAATTTCTATATTTACTGTGAGCTTGATGTGCTATTTTCACCATGTTTTTACCTATAAAAAGATTATTTCTCGATACTGCACAGGATGCTGACCTTATTATGTTGGCATTAGCTTCACATGAGCTTCACTTTTCAGTTTTCAGGGAGGTAAAAGTCATTTGTTTGCAATATTCATTTCTTTATGCACAATTGTTTTATTACTTAATTGTCTAATTAATTAATGAACAAATCTGTTGTTTTCATGGGGCTCGAGCAGAATGTTCTTATTCAGGATGACCTCTCGAATCAAATATTATCTCTTGAACTTGGTATCCAGAAAGCTGAAACTCATATTGTGAGTAGTAGAGGATGGTTTGGGAAGGTTGAATAGGGATAAAATCATTTTAGTTCATTTATACATTTTACTTGAATGTTTCCCCCCTAAATGATGTCTTGCTAGTGGTTATTTTGAAATATATTTTTAACATTTTGGTTATTTTGTCAAATTTAGAAAGATGATGCTGTTAATGGACCTGCCAAAGCAAAGCACTGTCGCACTTCCAAGAATAAATTTCAGGTATTTTTCATTTGTACTCCGTAATGTTGATTCTTATAATTTGACATTGTCTTCACTTCTTTATTTGCTTGGTTAAAGATTTAATCTTTATTTATATTTGCAGTTCCTCAATGTTTGGGTGCTGAGGGAGTACCTAGAACTCGATATCTGCACTGGCCTTCTTGCAGGTTCTAAACAAGCTGATTTAGAGAGAGTTATCGATGATTTTGTTTTCATGTGTTTCTTTGCTGGGAATGATTTTCTTCCTCATATGCCCACTCTTGATATCCATGAGGTATTTCTTGTTCATTTTTTGTTCATTTTTCTTGATTAGCCATCTTCTAAAATTTCAAGTTTGAGAGTTTGTTGATGCGTGTTGGGTTTTTAAAATTACTGCAGGGTGCTATTGATTTGCTCATATATGTTTACAAGAAAGAGTTCAAGAATCTCGGGGGATATTTGGTTGATATAGAAAGGGTACACAATTAATTTATTAATTTATTTGTACTAAGTTTTTACTGCGAGCAGGGTCAATTTTACTTGTAAGATGGGAGTATAAATTATTTTATTCAAAAAGAGAAAAGAATTGAACTGCGCTTTGAAACAGGTTGATGATCCAAAATGTGGTTTCATAAAGCTGTCAAGAGTTGAAAGGTTCATACTCTCTGTTGGCACGTACGAGGAGAAGATATTCATGAAAAGATTGGCGATTAAAGAGAAGAAAAATAGGCGGTTGGCATTGGAAGCTAGAGATGATGTGAGTTCATCAAATGACTCCCATTTTTTTCTATGTTAATCTATTTCATGGTTCCCAACCCTACATTTTGTGGGATTTTACTGGGTTTGTTTGTCGTAGTCAATTCCATGGTGGGCTATAAATGAGCATATTTATTATTTTTGTCACTAGGATGCGGAGAACGGTGACATAGAAGACAATGTGCCATCATTTGTTCCAAATACTCAGGAGAATGACATCCCTTTGGTATGCCACCATTTGATATCCTTTATTTGTGGGCAATTTAATTGGTGATGGTATGTTATCTAAGAGTGTATTTTGAGCATTGCATTAAAGTCCCGTCTTTTGCAGATTCTTGAAAATACTAAGGAGTTGAAGAGGAAGTTGAAGGAAATAATACGCCACAATGCCGATACGTTTAAGCATGGGGTTATTGCAGAAAAGGTTGGGGATGGATCGGCTATTATTTTACCATATAGGTTTCTTGGAAATTGAATAATTGTTATGTGAGGCCTTCAAATGGACCGGGTGTCATTAGGACACATAGGTTGGGTGCCAAAAGAATCCCAATCTAATTGTTATGCTTCCCACATCTTAATTTGGATTTCTTTTTAAATGCAAATCAATGCATAGGGTCTCATCTTTGGATGGAAACCCAAGGCGTAATATTAGTACACAAACTTTCTTGTTTTGAACAGGTAAAACTTGGTTCCCATGGATGGAGGGAGCGTTATTACATGCTAAAATTCAACTTGGAAAGGAATGCGGATGTGGAAGAGACCAGAAAGGACGTGGTACGTTTCGACACGCCCTATTAATGAAATGAGGAGAAACAAATGTCCTTTCTTACACAATGATAAGCATGTGTGTAGGTCTTGTGTGCCCTTAAGAATGTAATACCTTGCTGTATTGCAGGTCCAACACTACACAGAAGGGTTACTTTGGGTCTTGTTATATTACTTTAAGGGCGTACCGTCATGGGGATGGTAAGAAAATACAATGGTTGTGTCCTTAACTTCACAAAATGTGGCTTGATATATACGACTTTTTTGTGTCATTGTTACATTCTTAGGTACTACCCGCATCACTATGGCCCGTTTGCCTCGGACATGAAAGGAATGGCTCAAACAAAGGTGAAATTTAAGATAGAAGAGCCCTTTAAACCTTTTGATCAACTCATGTCAGTCCTTCCTCCGGGGAGGTGAGCTTTTTACTCTTTCCAATTTGTTTTTTAATGGAGTCTCTGCTGAAATCGAATAACATATATTTGGTTGCATCGAACACTGGCTAAAAAAAGACTAATATATAAGAATACGAGTTATTCATCTAATTGTCAATTGGTTTTGGGACAATAGTATTTGGCATGTAACTCTGTTTCCTTTAGTGCCCATGCACTCCCAGGAGCATATCAGATGCTCATGCTTGACGACAAGTCGACCATAATTGATTTTTACCCAACCAGTAAGTTCTTGTCAGAAGTAACGCTCTACTCTTCAAAAACAAAATTTAATGCGATTTGATTTGTTTTTACCGTTTCACGTTTCTTTTAGATTTTGAGACGGACCTCGATGGTAAGAGATTTATGTGGCAAGGTGTAACAAAGCTTCCATTCATAGAGGAAAAGCGTCTTCTATCCGAGACGAATAAGCTTGGCGAAAGTCTCACGGTATTTCTTTTGGAATCAACCCCCTTTTAATAATAGGCTTACTTATAATAGATACTCAATGTTCTGGGCTGTTCTATAATTTATCATTTATGTTTTCCTAAAATGTTTTCCCGTAGTATACTCAATATAATACCTCGTATTGTGCGAAATGCCGTGCAGAATCTTGACAAAGAGAGAAATTCGGTGACTGCGGAGAAGCTGTTCATGGAAAGATCATGTGAACTTGCTGTGCAAATTCTGTCTTTGTTCACAAAAGGTTGTGGTTTAAACGAAAACGATGCCATTAAATTTGGTCGTGCATTAAGGTTGGTAAAAGGTTTATGCCCATTCCTTAAAAAATTGCTCCTATGCACGACACTATACACTAAACGGTTCGACTGTTTGCTGTACTATTTTTCAGTGGGGGAATTAGTGGCACAGTCTGGCTTAAAAAGGACGAAAAGGAGAATCTGTCGAGCGACATTCTGTGAGTAATTTTTTCTTCGAGTTGCTTGTTTGTGTTCTGTCAATTAACACAATGGAGACCTAAAAGAGTCATTTTTTACTATGTTTTTTAGTGTAGTGTATGGACTATGACTTGGTGTGTTTATGCAACAGGTGTGTCTTCTTTCGTACCTCTCCAATCTCGTCGTTCATTCCTAGAGTTTTAGCCGGTACCGATTTTCCCCGAGAAAAGGTTTGTTCTCGACACCAACACGCCCTTACAGCCATTTCCAGTTACACATGAACCCATGAAATGAAAAATGTTTACCAAAATGTTCTAATGAAAAGCTGGTTTAATCTCTACAGACTGTGCATGAATGTGATATTGAACAAACAGTTCTCTGGCATGAATTCAATGCCAGACCAGCCATTTCTTACAGGTATTCACAGACAGACTCCTCAAATATCTGCGTGTGTGTGTATATATATATACATACATATATATAATTATTTTATTTATTTATTTATTTATTTATTTATTTGTACATTGCAGCAACAGGCCACATAATCAAGGAAACAGAGGAAAGCCATTAGCAAATGGCAGTATGGGAAATCATAGGAACTCTGTTCCTCATGAGCTGGTTACGGGCGTGGGCCGTTTTAAAGATGCGGGCACTGGATGGTCCGGTCGTGGGAAGATCATGCCTCGGCCCGAGTTGCAGGCCCATTACAGCTCTCCAAGATTCGTTGCCCCTCAAAGACCGCGCTACATGCAGCCAACGGCTCCACCCCGAAGCCAATGGCAGATGGGCCGGGCTGCGATGTCTGTCCCGCCGCCCAATCAGATGGGCAGCGGGGTGAGGCCCAATGTTGCCTCCCATAGTGTTCGGCAACAAAACCCGTGGCGCGTGCCCGGACCGCCGCCACCGAGGAGCAGTGGAGAGAACCAGTGGCAGATGGGATGGCCCACATTGTCTGCCCCACCGCCCAATCAGGGTGGGGTCTGGTGCAATGTTGCTCCTCGTAATGTTCGACCACAGAACCCATGGCGTGTGCCCGGACCGCCACCTGGAAGTAGTGGGTCGGGTAACGAATGGCGTGGGTCGGGTTTTCGGCCCGCTGTTTCGAGCTCAGGGAGGGGGAGGGCTGGCTCGGGAAATAATAATTTGCAACGAAATACTAGATAAGTTTCCCCAAGTTTTTTTTGGCAATGTTCATAGTTTTGCTTTTTGTTCTACGTAAATTGCTAATTTTGATCATCAAACGAGTCAAATGTATGTATGTAATGTGGAATTTGGGAACATCCGAAATCTAGTACTGATCTTTTGGGGGCATGATTCATTTTCAAATTTAATATTTGTGTATGAAGAGAATCCAAAATCCAATTGTGTTAGTGTAAAAAAAGTAAATGAAATTTTCAAGAGATTGTATTTATGAATTGGGTTTTTGAGGTTACTTTTAGTTTAGTTTAATTTATTCAAGTTCGAATTTGATTCCAAAACCAAACAAAATTTTGGTGATGAAATTGAGAGTTGTGGGTGGGTTCGAGCCGGGCAGGGGAGGCGCCGTGGCGGTTCATCTAGGATTGGATTGTTAATTTTACGAACGAAACATTGTAGGTGTCTGAAAATGCCTAAATGGTAATAAAACCGCAGTGTCAATCGTGCCGAACTAAAATTTGCATTATGATACCTACCTCTGTCTTGGTTTATTTGTCCAGTTTTGATTTTTTTTCAGTCAACCGTTATAACCATTGACTTAAATTTAAATAAAATATATATATTGTATATTAATTAGATAAAATAATATTTTGATTTTTTTAAATAATAAGTCTAATAAAACTTTTTTGTTACTTCCTCCGTCCTATAATGATCTTCCCAGAGCACTATTCTAACTTCACGGAAATTTATATTTATTTGTGTTTTTTCATGGCCTATATGATAAAATAATATATTCTTGTCACCACTTGTTTTGTTGAACTTTTGATGTAGTTTTTAAATATGTATGTTTTATTTTTTATTTGTATACCAATATTTAAATAAAATAGATTGAAAAAATTTGAAGTTTTTCTTCGTTTTGCGAACCGGGAAGATTGTTATAAAACGGAGGGAGTATTATTCTTATTTAATTTGGAGTGAAAAAATTTACTAATTGTGACAAAAAAAAGAACTAATTGTACCTTTTTGTATCGTGGAAGTAATTACTGGGCATAGGGGAGGTGGGAGGTTTAGACGTTTAGTTTACCTCAACGCCACAGAATCTCCGCCTCCGCACCGCCGCCGCGCCGCTATCTTCTCCACCCCCGGTCGGTGAGTCTTCTTTAATTCCTCCTTCGAATCGATTCGCATCCGCATCGGTATTTTGTTTCTCGCTCTCATATTGCATCTCTCGATTCCAACTTTGCCAATTCAATGAGACAGAATTCATAGGAGTGTAACCCTTGTTTTAATGGATGTTTTGAATGTTCATGCCAGACAATAAGATCATAATTCATGAATTTAGGGGAAATATATTTAGAACCTCATTAATTCATTATCAATAATATCTTTTTTAACTGAATCGAATTCTAAATTAAAGAAATTACTTGCTATAAGAAAAAAGAATACTAGCTTTTTGAGTTGAAATCAAAATGAAAGTAATTAGTATGAGCTAATATGCTTGTGATGAGGCGAAGTCAGATTTCTGGGTACTTCTATTGATTTTGCAAAGCGGTATGTTTTCATTGCATCAAGTTACGTTTCGCTCGGGTACCATACATTGAATTATGCTATATATTCGGTTTCGTAAACAACCCTTATTTGGTCAAGTTATTGTACAACAACCACTTTATTGTTGTAGCAGTTGAAGGACCGAAATTTAGAAATCAGTTCGGCAGATACTCCGTATTACATGGAGTATGATTCGAGACCGTGATCAAGCGTTATGACCACGAACTGTTTGTAGCTAATCTGTGGTCATCTCCAACTCCAAGTTTGTGTATAGTGCATTATTGTTTGAGTGAAGTAGCTAAGAGCCCATTTGGTAAGGTTTAAAGACATAGAAGTAGCTGTATTTGCTGAAATTTTAATGACTAAATGGTTCAATCTGCTGAATTGTGAAAATATAGTTTCTTTATGAAATAAAGACAAATGTACTCCCTCCGTCCCCCGGTCTTGTAAACAATCTTCGTGTAAGATTCGTTTCTTTATCGAATATGGATAGTGGAGAACTAAATCCGGACTAACGAAAACAAGAAAGTGTACAACTGAATCTGGATGGAGGGAATATATAGAAAAGGGTAAAAACGTCATCTTCATCCACTTTTTGTGTTGGTCAAAGAATAGTAACCGAGCTCATTTTCCTTCACCACAGACGTTGGGGCTATCGTGGCTACAATACAACGAATGGGCAACAAACCTGCAAAGCCAAAGCAAGGGGATGATGTGGTGATGCTGAAGATTGTGCCTCCTATAGATCAGGACTTTGTGCGGTTGCTCTTTCGGGATGTGGAGAGGATCCATGGATTCACCGTGAGAAACCCTCGTGCCATCAAGCCCCCGGATCACTACATTGAGTACATGCAACTGAATGGATTGTTGGATTTAGACTTGGATGACCCTGACTTGGCTCATCTCTTCAAGTAGATCCCACCCCCTTGTGATTCTTGAAATGGAAAATTGTATCTTAATCCCAATGATGACGCTTACATACACAATGTCGTACAAACTGTCATTGTATCTGATAGTGTGACATCGACAGTGTGGCAGTGTGACACTGGCAGTTCCATTTAAAAAAATAAGGCAATCTACTCTGAAGGAGTTCGTGAATATTGTGTGTTTTGCATTGAATATGGTGTTGGATGAAATGCATTTTTTGTGTTGCATATGGGTTGAAAAATCTGTTTTTTTCATGGAAAATAAATTACTCCAATCACTTCCAAGCAAAATTTCAAGAGATCCATCCATACGTATTTTGATTTTTGTTATAACAGTTTACAATAATACGATTAAATAATTGTAAAAACCATTGATGATTAAGAGACCCTTATTCTTCTGGTCATTTGTTTGGTTTTGATTTTTTTCGGTCAACTGTTTTAAATCTTTGACTTATAATTAAATAAAATATATGTTGTTTATTAATTAGATAAAAATATAAAATAATATTTTGAAAATATTGATATAATAAATCTTGAAAAAATATTTTTGTATCAATATCTAATACGGATTATCATTTTTATTTAATTTGAAATTAAAATTTAACAATCTTGACTAAAAAAATAAAAAATAGACAAATGCTCAGAGACGAAGAGAGTATGATCCAATTTAGATCTTTAAAAAAGTAAAGAATATCTCAACTCTTTAGTTAAGAGTTAATAAGACTATAAGAGTACAAAATTACAAATATTTATTTTACAGGGTCCAAAAATGAGAGGAGGAAACTTTGTAATGGGGGTGGGTTCCCTGACTTCCCTCCACATCTGCATCCGAACCAAATTCCCTCTTCTTCCCCATTCCCTCGTCTCTCATCATCTTCCCCTTTTCTCTCTCTTCCCGCTTTTTCCCAGTCCCCCCTTTCGCCTCAGATCTCTGATTCACTCTTGTCATCCCGTCTGCTCAATCACTCCCACCTCATTCTTTCCGTTTACCCCTTTCTTGAAAACCCCCAATTCCTCAAAACCCCACACAAGGGCTTCCAATCGAGCTTTCCCTTTTCTTTTCTCGAGCGAAAAAAGAAAACAATCAGAGGGTTTCAAGAATATCAAGTTCCGGTCAAATAATGCAGAGGCAGCAGCAAGAAGATGCTTTGGGGCGGCAGCAGCAGCGGCAGCTGCCGTCCACGGCGGTGAAGCCTCCGTTTGGGGATTACCGCCGGTTCTCCGGCCACCTGGCTTCTCAAGAAGCTGAAGGTATCGTGGTGAAAAATCCGGTGAGTAGTTGGATTCTTTTCCGTCTGTTTTACTAGGGTTTATTTGTGTAGTTTGTTTCTTATTCTTGAGCTTGGATTTTGGGTGTACCTACTACTTACTAAGAAAGTTGTCATTTTTATGCTTGGTTAGCTATTCCCATAATTGGTCACAGTTCAATTTCATGTGTGCATTTGTGTATGTGTTTTATAGTCAGATCTGTCTTGATATTTTTTGGGTCATTTGGCCATGTTATCAATGAATTTTGAATCTTTATTTGGTTATTTTAGTGGTCTTTTGATTCTGATGTATTTTCACCTTCTGAGTGTAGCAATTTGGTTGGCAAAGTTAGCTGGCAGTTATGTAACTTCAAAGAATTGCTGCTGGTTTAGGAAGAGTAATTAAGTGTCTAAATCACTACGGGGTTATGTCCTCCAATTGCATTCGAGTGTGTTGTTACATATGGGAAGATGGATTAATAATATTCTCTTTTATAAAAAAAATTGTTCATTAGTATTAAAAATTGGAAACAAGGAATCAATGTAGTCGTGTTTTTGTTGGGAAATATTGAGTGGCCTTGGCAAGTGTATATTCTAAAATAAGCTTTATCATCAGTACCCCAGTTTTGCATTTTACATTTTTTTAAAAATAAAATTATCTATAGTTCGAAATTAACTTCTTTCTTTACTTGTGATGCTGTGACGAGTTCATGTAAAGATACGTTTCTTCACTAAAACTATCCAAAAATTATGTCCTCTTTCTAAATATACCCCTTACCGTTCCCAAGAATTGTGCTTTGAGTTTCTGATAAATCTAGGAATCATTTCCTATACTGACTCATTATTGATTTAACTAGCCATTAAAGCGGAAGTCAGAGACAATAAATCTCAATCATACATCTGGTGATGAGAATGCAATTTCTGTATATGCCCTCAACAGCCCACTGCAAACGCCGGTTTCAGGGAAATCTGGGAAGGAACAGAAAACGTCCAGGTCATCAAGGGCTAATCATAAATCTGTATCTCAAACTGCTGCCAATGGTGGTGAGAATTCTTCTAAAAATGTTTTTTTCTTCTTCAGGCATTGTACGGATATTACATAAGTTACCTCTTTTTGAGAATTCATTTCTGTTTTCAAAATCCGTGATAAGTGTTTGGTAAAGCACTCAACTATAGATCAGTATGAGGAAAAATTTGTCTGTAATGTATTGCAGAATCGCCATCTAACAACAACGCAACTCCAGTTGGTTCATGTCGATATGACAGCTCACTAGGTAATTATGCTTGTCTGTAAATATGTCTGGAAGTTGTAATATTATTTAATTATCAGCCAAGCATGTCATCCTGGTGAACCAAGACTATCTGAATGTGCACATAAATTACTTCAGCCTCTCTTTGTTTTTAGGAAAATATATTATGTTTCTCCTGTGTTTGGAACAACAAAATGTTTAACAGCAAATTATTTTGTTCTGAACTATTTTTTTGGCAAAACATTACTCCTTCTGTCCATTAAAATGAGTCATATTTCTCAACTTCTTTAAGAATACAAGTATATACTTAATGCTCTTATAAGAGTATACCTTGTTAAAATTAGTAAGTTGATCCAAGTGCACTCTTTTTATGGGATATTATTATCTTTCTGGAAAACATTTTCCATGTAATTTATTGGAGCCTTATTGTGACATTGCATTATTATTGTTGAATGATTGGAAAGAGTATAAGTGGGGTAAAATGGCAGTGGTTTTTTATTATTATCTCAGGTCTATTAACAAAGAAGTTCATCAATCTTATCAAGCAAGCCGAAGATGGCACTCTTGATCTAAACAAAGCAGCTGAAACATTAGAGGTAACCATACCTCCCCTTGCTTACATCTCGTGTAATTTCTTCATGATGAAACGATCTAGTTTTTCCTTGTTAACAGGTCCAGAAAAGGCGCATCTATGACATAACAAATGTACTGGAAGGCGTTGGTCTAATAGAAAAGAATCTAAAGAACAAAATTCAATGGAAGTATGGAAATCTATGGAATCGATACGAGCTTCATTTTTGAAATTGCTAATAAAGTTAAATGCTTTACTTTCCTTCAAATCTTTCTCAGTAAATGAGGAGTGACTAATTCTGATTCGTGCAGGGGTCTGGACGTGGCAAGAGGAGGAGATCCTGATGAGAGTGTTATGAGCTTGCAGGTGAGACGAAAATAATACGGGCATATAGCTCTAATTTGAACACAAAAAATGGTTTGGAAATGAAAAAAAATCTTATCAATTTTTCATCGGATTTTCTTCCCTTAGTATTTTTCTGTGTCCGAAACAGATTCTAAATGTGAATTGGAATAATGGGATGCATTCTCAAGTTGTAGTGCTACTTCTTGCAGGCAGAAGTGGAGGGCTTGACCTTGGAGGAGCAAAGAATAGATGAACAGATCAGGTGATTTTTTTTTTGCAGACTTTATTGCACTGAGAGTGCCATACTTTAACTATGATTGTACTGATTTGGATGCCATGAAATTGCTTTAGAGAAATGCAAGAAAGCCTGAGGGACCTGAGCGAAGATGAAAACAATCAAAGGTCCATAATTTCTTTTGTCATATTAGAACCATAATGTTCAAATTTAAAATGGCTGTGAATTTTGTTGAGGCTGTTTATTTTCTATCAGATGGCTTTTTGTTACTGAAGAGGATATCAAGAACTTGCCCTGTTTTCAGGTACAGAAAGATTAATTTTTGGGTTAATAACATTTATCTACCATGGCGTCGGGGTCAAAATACCAAATGACCTTTGAGATTTTTGTAAGTTGCAAATTTGTCTCTTGATAAGTCAAAGAGATTGTTTTTTATCTCATTTTCCTTAACAAGGCCGCGAAAGATTATTTTCTTGTCATTCGGTTACTTAACTGTGTTTTACAATTAACTTTTAACTATACTTTTGTTCCTTTTTTAGAATGAAACACTCATAGCAATTAAAGCTCCTCATGGCACCACCTTAGAAGTTCCAGATCCGGATGAGGTTAATGCTCTACATTCCTATCATAAAGCTTCTTTAAAAGAGTGATTTTTTGTTCCTCAGTTCATGTGGATTTCCGTTTTTACCCCTTTTGAATCTCTCAAACAGGCCGTTGATTATCCGCAGAGGAGATACAGGATAGTTTTGAGAAGTACCATGGGTCCAATTGACGTTTACCTTGTCAGGTACTTTTTTTTTAGCAAGACTTTTCTATTTATCTGCACTTAATTCAGTTGTAATTTGAAATAGTTTTTAGTGCCTTTTTTTATCCCTTGCCGTGCCTTCTTCCTTTTGCATTGACTCACTATCCAACTTGTGATAGCCAATTCGAAGAAACTTTTGAAGAGATAAATGCTGTTGAAGCATCACCTACAACCATCCCTTCAACCAGTGAAGTTGTAGCTGAGAGCATAGAAAATGACGCCTCCGGCGTTCATGAAAATGCAACGCAAAGGTTGTCCTCGGATGTCGGCACATCACACGATTTCGTGTCTGGTATCTTGAAAATCGTCCCCGAAGTTGATGTAAGTTTGTACTAATGAATATACTTTTTGAAAATGGTTTTAACCGATATATTCTCTCATAGTTTTTTATCTTGGCCTTTGTTAGAACGCGGCAGATTACTGGCTATCGTCAGTCACTGATGTCAGCATTACAGACATGTTTACTGACTGTATCCTTACTGGTTTTGAAAATTCCCGCCTAGCGTCTTTGCCTTGTTTGTGTCCACATGCCATTGTTGTATTCCTTGACACTCAGATACACAGATGGAGAATGCAGCACCAGCATCGATTGGAATAACTTGGGCACGATCGATGGAGATTGCAGCACTGTGGAAACTGCCGTTGCTACCCCGCACTGTACCCAAACTCCACCACCAGCTGAAACCAAAGCTGAATCGCTGCCTTCCAAGCCCCAGTGAGAGAGGTAAACGTCGATTTTCTCTCGGGCCACCGGAAGAGGTGAGTGAGAATACAGACAGAGGAAGACTTTGGCTTTGATTGTTGTTGTGTATATAGTTTCTGTGTGAGGTGAATACAATGTACTAATAGAGACATAAAATGAATAGAATGAAATGAAGCACTTGTAGATTTGTAGTAGTACTTGTAAAAGTTGGGCTGTTTGTATTTCTTGAAATTCAATTCATCCACACACTTTCAAATGGTCATAGATTGCAAACTATTGCATTCATCAGTTTGTCTTGATCATCATTGTGATACACATATGAAACCCTCCCAATGAAGTGAAGAAACTAACCCAAACAACAAAAGAGCATTGGAATGACAAGGCCAAGTATGGCCAAAGACATCAGGTAGTAATAACATGGAGAGTTGGATTGGCGGCGGTTGTGCTGCGGCAGCAGCTTCATCGCGGAGCTTCTGCCGCGTGACAACCTAAACAAGCGACGGACCCAACACCTTCTTCCTTGGCGTGGTGATTCGGGATGTCCCCTGGCTGTCGGTTCCTTTATTATAAGTCTCAGTCTCCGATTTGCCGTGCCTTGGGAGGGAAACAAGTGGTTGTTGTTGTTGTTGTGGTTGAGGTGGTGTGACGATGTGAGATTATTATCACTACCAAGACCCTCATCGCACGTCGCTGGCCGTTGATGCTTCATGAGTGAAGTAGAATCGTCGAGCTTCACGATGTCGTCATTCATTATATCAGCAAACCACTCCTCGTCTCCATCTACCGACTCCTAGAAACAAGTCCAACAATACATGGTTATTCTACAACGTTCTCACTATTACGCCAAGGTTGACACCATCACTGTTTTATAGACAATGACAATTCAATGGCAACTTTAATGTCATTCTTGGGGTCGGATTAGAATAGCGTTACACAACAATACACATGACTAAAGGGATCCCGGGTTTGCGCGTGTACCTGTGGATGTGGTTCAGAAGGCTGCAATCTTTGGATTTCATTCATCGACTTCTCATCGGATTTGGACTCAATCAGCTCCACAGAGTGAGAGCTGAGGCTACCGCTGGACTCTCTTGAGCCGCTATACCCTGCTGGGGCAACGTTCCCTCCACGAGAACTCTCCACACCATCCGCTTCAGACAAAGTCATTGTTGCGTTAAGGTTGTTCTCCCGAGTTCGGGTAGTCGTCTCGTTCAATTGAAACTCGCTGTTCTTCCGAAGGCGGCACACAACCATTGAATCCTACCCATTTAAAAAAAAATGTACAAGAACGTGTAGTCGTTACGTTTGTCAATCAATCTCGTCAGACCATAAAATCTTTCATGAACGTACAATCACTCAGAAATATACCTGAAGTTGAGATTTGGTAGGATTGATGATGGAGTACTCGTGCATAATCCATGGAGTGCGTTGTCCTTTAGGCGCGCGGCCAATGTGGAACACCAAGGTCCGTTTTGTCCCGATCACGTTTGATCCCGACCCAGAACCCGTCGACTTCACGTCCCTCTCCTTCCCCGTCGCCTTCCAGTAACCGCTCTCCGTTGCTCTCCTGCTCTGCGACCCGTTCGGGTACTTCCTTCCCCGTCGCGAAAAGAAGAACCACTCTTTCTCCGATTGAATCTCACTCTTGGCTGCACAATGTTATGCTATGTTTATGTATTAATCAAAATGTCTGAGATTATAACTCAATTCAGTGCATTTTTATTTTTTGCAACTTTTTATTAATAATCACTTTGAAAAGCTATCCTAATTCCATAAAGCAAACTTTGATGACACAGCAAAAGAAAACGTGTCTTACTTCACTTTGGGACATAATTAAGCTAAGAAAAGAAAAGCTTTTTTTTTTTTGAAATTTTGGCATATATGTATATCCAGTCACTGACGCAGACAATACCTTAAAAAGCACTAATAAGCTCCCAAAGTTATAGGGGCCCAAAGTTTAGCATTCAACTCGAGTAATAATTATAATAATAATAATAATAATAATAATAATAATAATAATGGAATGTCCACTCCCAACGCTCTCACACCTCGGCCCGACAAAATAGTGACTGAGTAAAGTATCGATTCCGAGACCTCGGAGTTAAGATTGACACTATCTAATCAGATTACTTGTTGTATGTACAATAATTTTGGTGAAAAATTATTGTGTTTGAGACACTAGTGGTGTCACTCTTGTTAACATGGTAGCATGACACAAAAACGACACTACTAAGCTAATACCTCATCAACTAGAGAGTAATTTCTTTCAAAAATGCTTAGAAATCACATAAGATATACTCCTTCCGTTCCAGAAAAATCTACTCATTTTCGTTTTTTGTGCATATCATAAAACACTTTTACCACATCTAAAATGCGTAAAATTTACCACATTTATCCTTTATTGCGGGTAGAAGTTGTTTTAAAAGTTCTTTTTTTGATATTTGAGACGAGATAAAATTGTTTTAAGAAATACGCAAGAAACGAAATGGATAGATCTGTTTAGAACGGAAAGAGTATAAAATCGTCTGTAAACGCAGAAGATTATCGTCCGTGTATGTATAAAATCATCTGTGATTGCTATCCGTGTGACGGTGTGAGCAACATATCCAATTTCTAAGAGGGAGGGAGGGGGGGGGGAGACCTGGCAAGTCCCAAGGCTCGTGCTTCCAAATCTCGACCTCGGAGATAAGTTGGAGGCTGCTGCTGCTATGGCTGCTGCTGCCACCTTCCACCTTCTTCTTCAAGTAGTAAGATATTAGCTCCTCGTCTGTCGGCGAGAACCGGAACCCCGGAAACATCGCCGACGCCGTCGCCAGCGGCAGCTCCATATTCATCTCTCTCTCTCTCTCTCTCTCTCTCTCTCTCTCTCTATATATATATATATATATATATATATATATATATATATATATATATCGATCGATGAATTGAGTTGAATTGAAGATGCCGCCCCGCCCCGGTCATGCATATATATACATACACACAAATATACATACTTCATCCGTTCTAAAAAATCTTCACTGATTCATTTTTTGCGCATCCTATAAAATACTTCTACCGACATCTAAAATGCCTAAAATTTACAACATTTCTTCTTTATTGTGGGTAGAAGTTATTTTGAAAGTCTTTTTGGCATTCAAGGCCGGACAGAAGTGTTTTATGAGATGCGCAAAAAATGAAACAGGAAAAACTTTTTATATACTCCCTCCTCTCTCCCTTCCTAAATTGATTAAAAATGGCTAGTTACGAGGTAAAATTTTGTCTTTTTAAATCATTTCATTTACAAATTGGTATAGTAACAAAAAATAAAAATTATTCTCTCCGTCCCATAAAAATTGGGACAGTTTGACTAAAGTGGTAAAATAAAAAGGATAATTTTGTGTTGACTTTCCAAAAATACCCTTGATGTGATGGGTAAAAGCAGGATGTGATGGGTAGATTATTAGGAAAAAAAGTATGATATGATAGGTATGGTATGAAAAAGTAAGGAGTAAATGTAGTTTTTTAATAGAATTGAGACGGACTTTAAGAGACGCAAATTTTTTGAAACGAGAACGTCGAGAAGTGACAAAATTTTTATCAAATACTAAATGAAAACATATAAATAAATAAAAGTTATCGGGACGAGAGAAAAAAAGATTGTAATCAAAATTGGGACAAAGAAAGTATAATATATGCCCCTCACTCATTGACTAATTACTCTTTCCACCATGCTCGCTAATCTCTACCTAACATACATATGCATGTATATATGTATATGTAATACTTCTTATGTTCAAAAATTATCTTTCTGTACATTATTTACAGGGTCAAATTTTATTTACTGTGTAATTTATTTTCATTGTTTATTTAATAAAATTGTATAGTTATATTATTTAATTTTGTAGATCTTTGGATGTATTTTTTCAATATGTCATTTTTATATTTTTATTTCAGACCGTTTTCATATAAAATGATTTAAAAATAATTATAATAAAAAATCGTGACGCTCAACAAGAAAATGTATATATATTGCTTTGTCAGCCAAATAGTACCACTACCCTCGTGGTTTGGAAAGTCTTTTACTCTATCCCTTTCGTAAAGTTTATTTTTTTAACCTTTTTTAATTTGTTTGTTGTCTATTTAACTTTTCATAACTGTTTTTGCAAATGCACACAACACACTTTCTCACTTTATCCCTCTAGTTTGACTCACTGTTTATTAGGATTAAACTAGAATAATTTGTATTTTAATTAAATAGAAATTATAATTTGTATTCCATATATATTTATATAAAAACAATTTTATTAGATTTTACTTGTTAAGATATTCAAAATTTTATTTCATTGTATTAATGTACAATCTGAAAATCATATCAGAGTTTCATTAATTTATGGATCATAAATTCAAACCTCACTATATATTACACTTTTGTCCTTTAGTATTTATCTAAATTTATCCTTTTACCATCAAAATTAACAAACTTTGATCAGTAATTAAATACAATTAATATTAGATATTTTTCTAATGAATATATTTATTGATTTTATTTAATTATATGTCAAAGATTCGTATTAATTAACTGTAAAAATTATAACTAGGCAAATATTTGAGAAGAACGTATGGTATTATTCACCCAAAAAATAATTACTTTGTAATATTCACATATACAGGACTAAAATGCTATGGTAAAAATCTCTTTAGTACATGGTGTAGGATATATATATATATATATATATATATATATACACACACACACACACACATATATATATATATACATACATACATATATATATATATACTTTAAGAAAATATTTTTCTTGTTATTCCAATTTTTATTCTTAATTCATTTTATTCGTTGTCTATATTGATAACTCATTTCAAAATGCCCATGTTGTACAGCGTAGTTATTCCAATTTTTATTTTTTAAAGTTTTTATGAATTTTTAAATACATGTAATTTTTTTAAATTATTTAAAATCCAATAAAAAAAATTAAAATTATTTTCATTCAAAATCTTATTGCAGTTAGGAAAGTGCAACGGCGGTGGCAGTTAAGAAAGCGCGTGCCAAAAGGAGCGGAAGTCACGTGAATGGGGGGAGAGTAATCAGAGTACGTGTTGAGCTTGCATGGTGGAAGTGGGACCACATATTTGGAGACTCGTGACGTGGATACGTGTGTCAACCCTTTTTCCTTTTTTAATTTTAATTTTATTTTTTTTGCTTTCCTGGCCACATTGAAAAAAAAAGAGGAATCTTATTGGCACTCTTTACTCCATTTCGGATTACTGTGTACATTTTTTGAATGAAATTATTTTTTGATTTGATTTATTGAAGTATGTGAAATTTGCAATAAATAAGACTAAAACATAAGTTATTTTTCAATGTAAGACTTAAAACTTTTTTATTCCACAAATAGGACTTAATAATGTCTACTAAGAGGAATAATGTCCATTAATGATAGACATTTAGTTAAATAATGACTAACTGATAATGACAAAAAATCCTACATTGGGAAATAAAAATATATGGTCCTATATTGAGAAAGTCACGATGTTTTAGTCTTATTTAAGTAACAACAACAACAACTCAGTTGAATCTCACTAAAGTATGGTCTGGGGAGGGTGTGTGTACGCAAATGTTGTTCCTACTGGAAAGTAGGGAGACTGTTTCCAAAAGAAGTACTATTTAAGTAAATTTCTCATAAAGATATTCAATAATTGCTTTGCATATCAAGATTCTTAACATAATATGATGTGACATGATGATATTTTTTTTATGCAGAGTATTAAAAATTCAATAAAAACATGTAAATTAAAAAAAAGGAAGATTTGTATATACAAAGTATCTTGAATATGTTAAAGCATATCTTTCATTTTTTTTATTTTTAATCTACTATCTAAAGTAATATGGAGTATTATTCTTATTAATATCCCTCTCGTTTCAAAATGATTTACATTTTTATTATTTAAGCATCGTGATAATTTTTAATTCGTTTACTCTTGTGTTTTTATTAACCATTTGAAAAAATAAAATAGTATTGACTTGTTACAATTTATGTTGTAAAAAGTTATATATATATATATAAAAATATATAATTATATACTTTTTATTTCTATACTATTTTATAGATTAAATCATTTTCAAAAAATGTAATAATGTAAATAAATTTGTGATGGAAGGAGTATTAGTAAACGATCGGAGTATCAATTTTATAGTTCTATATTTCATGTGTGTTGTCCTCCGTCTAAAAATGTTCTTCTCATTTGAATTTTTTTCATCAAAGTTTGTAAACTTTGACTCTCATATAGATAAAATAGATTGTAGTATGATATAAATTTAATATCAGTATATTCATATTGAAACGTAATTTTCAAATATCAATTTTTTATAAAATATATCTATGCGTAAATATTATTTAATGGTCAAAGTGCAACATAGTAGTGCGTGAAAAATCAAATGAGAAGAATATTTCCGAACAGGGAGAGTAATAAGTTTTTTAAAAAAAATTTCAAAACAAAAGAAAATAGTTAAAGCACAAACGTAAAAAAGATTAGAAAGTTAAACTATGTTTATTCAGAGTAAAGTTGGACTCATATCCTATTAAAACCATACTATGAAAAAGAAGCCCAAGACGTAGGGTCTAAGAACTCTTTGGGCTTGACTTCTTCTTTGGCAGATTTTGGATAAACGGCCCAGTTTATCACGGATATTTTTTAAATGTACTTGTGATAAAAAAGAGCAATTTAGTCACGTTCTCTTCTTCTAATCTGTTTGCTTTTGATATGATTGTGATAAGTTCTAATCTGATTAGATCTGATCTGATTTGAATGTAGTTACGGAATATATATTTTAAATTATTTCTGATCTGATCTAGTAAAATCTTATTTCAATAAGAATAATTAATAAGTAAAATTACCTCAAGAAATAAAGTAATAATTTAAAAAAATAGGTTAAAGAGAACATGACCTTAAAAAGGTTGTTCATTAAAAACTCATATCAAGTTTTGTCACGAATTTATACACCGTTCTTAGTGGTAACCTTCAATTTGTCACGTTACAACATATGTAACGTTATAATCTTTGACAATATTTGTGTTTTTTATATGGTAATGTCCTGGAATAAAATTTATACTTTCATTTTTGACACGTTTCAAAATAAGTTTTTCATCACACTTTTTCTATATTTCTCAGCGAAGGAATATGTTGTTCACTGCATATTCCTTTTTTAATTTTCTAAACTTCATATCTAATCACAATTTTTTCTCATTTCTTAAAATCTGTTTAGAGTCCAAACCTAGACATTTTTTTAAAATTTTGACAATCGTCTATTTCGGCATCATATATTTTTTATTTTTCAACATCTTTTCATATTTTTTTCTGAAATTCTAGTCTGAGAAAAGGAAACTGAGTTGAAACATTATTAAAAAAATATTACAACATATGGGTTTGTGAATATACTGGGGTATATGGGTCAACAATATATTCCACATTTTATAAAAATAAAAGTGTGAGGCCATATTATTACAACCAGTGGGATATGGGTTTTGATTGGATTGGGAAAAAATCCATAAGGCCATGGGATTGGAGACCCATACCCAAATGTCATCCCAAAACATTTAATTTAACTAAAGCTTCATTATACATACATGAACCTTTTAAACCTTCTCAAACAATATTACTCCCTCCGTCCTAAAATATTCTTCTCAATTACTATTCCTATGATCAAATTTAAATTATTTTCTTTACCTATTTTCGATAGTTATTTGATAAAATAATATATTCTTGTCATCTCTTCTTTTATAAAACTTTTGATGTAGTTTTTGAATATATAAATTTCATTTTTTTAATTTTCCACCTACAATCAAATAAATGAAATTGAAAAATCGGTCAAATCCCGTAAACAGAAACGAGAACGTTTTAAGACGGAGGGTGCATGTATTTGTGATGATGCAATGCAACAAGTGCATGTGCTCAAAAAATGAAAACCCAAGACAAAAAAGTCCATTATATCGGCCATCCTCCGTTTTCAACAACACTTTT